AGGATCCCAACATTTTTTCGCTCGTTTTCGCTTTTTTTTCGGTTTTTTCAAGAGTTTTCTAGGTTTTTGTCAATTTTTCTTCCAGATACATCGGAAATTTTGAAAAAAACAGTGAAAACGAGCGAAAAAATTGTAAAAGTTTGAATTCGCGCGCTTTCACTCACCGGGCGGCCTAGAAAAAAGCTCGTCCCTAAGGGCTTTCAGCGTATTTTTCGATGCGTTTTTCTCGCCGAAGGAATTTTTCTGAATTTTTTCTTTATTTTTATGTCAATCTACATGCATTTCTGCACATTTTGATGCAATAAAAAATTTCACCGTATACCACCTTTAACGAGACGCAATTTCATTTATTTATCATAAGAATGATTTTTTCTACAAAAATGTTTCACTTAATTTTTCATTCATTTAACGCCTTCCACAATAAACCTAATCATTTGAAAATGCTGATCACCAACCAGGTGGCGTCTTGAAATCTGAAGGTTTGGTCTTTAATTATAAGAATGTTTAAAAACCTGAATCACATTCCCTCACTTAAATTTTATTATAAAAAATAAATAAATTGTCACTTCAATAGGTTATAACATCCGCTTCAATTCTTCCTCTATCCATCAGCACTATTCGTTTCTCCTTGAAAATTGGATGAGTCTAATAGAATATCCATGGGACCAGAACAATGTCACAATCACTCCCGTAAGGTCTCACAGCTACCAGGCTAGAGAAGGCCAGTAGATTACAACCATCTGAAAATGAAACATTTTGAGCAACGTAACAAAATCTTTAGGTTCACTGGTACAATAGAAAAACAAAGATTCTCACCACGAGAGCTAGATTAGTGATGTAAGAAAGAAGCATTGATAAAGTGGTAAGTGATAATGATAGTTCAGCTTTTCGTAGTTGGACACTTTCTCTTTGATGTCTTAGCTTCTTTAGTTTGATGTAAAAAATCAAGTTTGTGATTAGGCACATCAACCAAAATACCAAATTCGCAAGTAAAAATGAAGGCAGTTTCAACTGAAAAATTACTTTTATCAAACAAAAGTTGCCAAAAAAACTCACATTCAACGTTCCACCACTCCAGTAGTTCCACCACTCCAGTACCGACCCAAAAGGGTAATTTCCCTGGAGTTGTCGACAGTCTCCAAGAGCAGGAATCAGTGGGAAGGTGAAGAAAAATCAATAGGTCAAAATTGAAGGTGTGCAAATCAAAACCATCTTGCGGAAAATTTCGTCAAGCCGGATTGGATTATAAATTGAGACTAATCGGAGTAAGGAGAGAAGAAATGGGAATAACATGGAAGTATAATTAAAATAGAGTCGGCGAGCATGTAGAGGAAAATCTGGAAAAAAAAATTATGCTAATAGTTTTGAAGAATCCGAAGCAATGGTTCCGGTCCCGCCAAAAAAGGTCAGAAATATTATTTTTCGATTTGATTGGTGTGGATGCGGTTTACCTGAAAGAGGGATGCAGGTAATGCCACAGGTAAAATGCGAACGGATCCGTTTCGGTGTCCACTAGGTTTTCTATCCGTAACGGGTCCGTTACGGGCAGTTTCGCGAATCTGAGTTCGCGAACGGATCCGTTTTTTCAACATTCGCAATCGGACAGGATACGGAGTTCGCGAACGGACCGGATACGGATGCAGCTGGAGGTCGAGAGATAGCTCCCATGCCCATTCGCGAACGGATCCGTTCCGGATGGCCGAGTTGTGAGGGACTAGCTTTCTCTTAACTCTTCCATCATATTTTTGCATCTTTTTTTTTGTATTTTTATCTATTTTTGCCGTTTTTTCCAACTTTTCTCGGCAATTGTGCCGATTTCTGTCTATGAAAATTTTCGAAAGGCGATTCTACGATGAAAAAAGGTTTGTAACACAAAGGTAATTCTTCGAAACATAGGGTTTGTTATAGGTATCACTTAACCTCTCCGTGAGCAAAAGGAACAAAAAATATTGTTTTCATGCTCACTTTTGCAGAAAGCAAGTTGCTAGCTTAAGGTAAGTGCAAACCACATTAGTTTTCGAAATAGTGACTTTTTAAATTTTCAGCGATGGACATCTACTAAACATCTACCGACTAAAACGTTGGAAATGAGACAATTTTCAAAACCCGGAAAACGAAAAATTTAACTAATAGATAAACAGTATGCTGCATTTTCGGAAAATTTCCCAATTTTTTTTCAGATTGCTCTGGTTCCGGTTGGTCGTTCAACGAAAAAAAGGATTTTCATAGTTTCTCGAACTTTGTTGTACGTTTGATTGTTGTTTCTTATATGTTTTCTTAATAAAGTTCCGAATACTAAGTCTACAACTATCATGAAAACTCAGCAAAAATTAAGAGAAACTGAAAAAAGGAGCGGCGGGGGTTTTCAAAGAATGAGTCGGAAACGGATCCGTTACGGATTCGCGTACGGTTCGTATACGATTCCTATTTCATCCGCGCGCGAATGGCGGAGAATCCGTAACGGATTGTCGCGAATCACCTGCGGCTTCCATTCGGTCGGGACATTTCGGGAAATACGACCGACCGACCGCCGACCTTCCGACTAAGCTGACAGATCGGTCGGCGCGCCCATCAACTTCGTGCATACGTACGTAATTCAGAAAACCCAAAAAGCGTGGTGTGTCGGTCGGCTGGGTCGCCTGTCGGTCCGCGGTCGCCGATTTTCGACCGACCGAGATGAAAGCAAAACTTGGTTGACTAACGGACAATGCCCTTGACATTTTACGAGTAGCTTGAAGTAGATCCGCCTTCACGACTTTTAGCAATTGATCGAGATTCAACTAACTGGGCCGTGGGCATCATTCAAACTGAACTCTCCTGGGCGGGATTTCTCGAAGCAACAACAAATTGTAGAATACCAGGCGTTTGAAGACCAAATAAAAATAAAAGTATAATCATGCTGAGAATGTGCAGTCGGATAAGGTCCAAAAGAATCTCCATTTCTTCAACAGCAAGTGAGATAAATATTGAAAAATCTACGATCTAATAGACACTGAACACAGCTCTCTGACAAAAAAAAAAGTTTGGCCCATTACACTTTTTTCTGGAGCCAGAAATCAAGCCTCAAAAACAACACTGCGAAAAAGAAAGAAACTTTCGGTTCAACCTAATATTAGTTTGTTAGGAAATGGAATTTCTTTGTGGATGGAGGAGAATAAGAAAAACGAATTTTTGGAATTGAAGAGAGGCACTCTGTAATTCTGATGCATTTGGTCTAGGAGGTTTTAGAGAAACGAGAAAAGTTCGAATTTTGCATTTAGACATACACCACATTTTAGAATATTTCAATCAAACATTTTATTCAGTTTCCAAACAACACATTTTTACATTTCAAATCAATCAAATCATCCAAAAATTTTTCCACCGGCTTTACCACATCCCGTCCACAATAGTCTTGGGTCACAGCTCTCAAGCACTCTCTTTTTGATTTTCGGTATCTTTCGCATAAAAATTCTGGAGTTTTCACGTAGAAACTTTGATTTTCTAGACATTTGTACTTTGAAAGATCGGGAAGCTCTTTGTCGATTGTCAGAATACAAACGGCGAAGTGGGATACTGTAAGCTCTGGGACAACAAGACTGAATTCGATTTCCGATTGCTCATCTTCAGTGAAGCACAGACCTTCCATGCAGTCCTGAAACTTGGGAACATTGGATATAATTTCCAATATGCTAACCTGAATATTCTTACACAAGACCATCACTTCCGTGGAATTTTTCAATCCTGGATGCCTTTCCAACTGCCTTTCGATTTCAATTTCCATCAGTTTCTTCTGTGCATAACATCTTTGAGCATTTAATCTATAATATGTTTCTGAGCATCCAGAATGAGCCGGAATAAAAGTCAAAGTGTCGACCAGCTCCTCGTAATAATAATTGAATACATCATATCGATCCGGATCGCATTTTTCTTGAACAATTCTCAAGAAGCAATCTTTCCCAGCTGTAAATGATGCTCGCTTCTTGACGTTGTCTTTCTGAAATTTTTCGGATTTTTGGAAACAAATAGGGCTTCACCTCCAAAAAGTTAAACTTTCTGGAACACGAGAAATCATTCGAAACAGCAGTCTCGAAAAATCTCAAGAAGCAGTTTTTCGTTTTGTCGCTGAGCAATTCTAGATAGAATGGTATTCCTTCAGGAATTGCTGGGACAGGAAGGATCAGTAAAATGAATAGGAACAAGAATCGCATTTTGTTAGAAAACTGGTTCCAAGAAAAAAGAGAATCTCTGGGTGAAGGGTTAGAGCAGGTGACATAAAAAAGCTGAAAATAATTGTGGAATTGAGAAAAACAAAAAGAGAGGTAAGGGTTAGCTTAAAGGTCATCCGGATGGGTGGTAGATGAGCTGGGAAAGGTGGAAATAACAAAATGAGGTACTGGAAAAATGCTCAAACATTAAATATTCTGGACTTTTCAAATAATTGGACCCAAAAACTATTAGTTCTGTAAATAACGAAGGGATATGAATAAATAGTTTTTCAAAAACTCGAAAATTGACAATTGTGCCATAAGCTTCTTGAGGATTTGAACTCGTGGACCCAACGCTGGAGGTCTAGCGACGCTACCAGCTGAGCTACGGTAGCAGAAGTAGCGGTGCCGACCGATTGGATATAGCCACTGGATGAACACCAAAAACTGTACACCGTCACGTGAAAATGCATACCACAAATAAAAAAAAAATCCGAAAATCGTCCTTCCTTAACTGAGTGACACACAACTACTGGGACTGAGAAAAAAGGTATATCTCCAGACATAAGATTCTTGGAAGAGCGAAAATTTTTAGACATATAAATTGACATTTGATTCAAAGCTACTGGAAATTTCAGAGCGATTCCTCAAGTCTAGGTATTGCTATGATTGTCCAAATATGAACAGCGTAATGTTTCTTTGTGATTTTCAGGAGATGAAGAAACTTTGACAAGCGATAACTCAGCTCAAAGTTGAGCAAATAATTTGAAACTTTGCCAGTTTATTGATGAATCATTTGAATTTTCTCACTACTAACTTGAGGCCAGTACAAGCTTTGACTCAAATTAAATACTTGTTCAAACTTTAGTCCGGGAAATTGCCGTAAAACCTGTAATAGAAAGGCCCTTCAACCTTCAACTTTGAGCCGATTTTTCTCGGATCCTGTCAAAGATATATAAAATTGGTCAACTGATAAATTGTTTATCATAATATCAAAAGCATTTTATTAGTTATCACATTTTTGATATCACTTGTAGGAACCGAGATAATTAAGCTCAAACTTGACAATGTGGGGGCCCTTCTATTACAGATTTCCTGGTATGCTCCACTCTTTAGGTTCGGTAAATTAAGGTGGTCAAAGTTTTCTAGCAAAATTGCTATATTTCTCGTCTTATGGTTAGTTAGTTGATTTGTACTTTATAAGGATTTCATATATTTGGATTCTTAATTTTTTGTTTCTGTTTTTTATGGCTTTTATAAACTTATGGCCTTTTCAGAAAATATTTACAATTGAAAAATATACAAAACATACGTAGATACAACCAAAATACCATTCAAATTTGTATTACACTTCACACTTCAAATTATTCAAGAACTTTTTCAAAAACTTCTCATCACTCTTCATAACATCTTTTCCACAAATCTCCACAGTCACTTGTCTCATACAGTCCTTCTTATTCTTCCATCTCTCACAAATCACAGTCGAATCTTTGCTATAAAAATCGTGATCATTGAGACACTCGAATCGTGATAAATCCGGCTTTTTTCTGTTGATTGTGTTCATACACACTGTGAAATCAGACGTTGTCAACTCCAGAACATCACAGCTGTTCTCAATCTCATCCCGTTGGACGGGAGTGAACTTGCACGAGTTTTCGATGCATTCCTGAAAAACACCAAGTGAAAATAGCAAAGCGATTTCGAAAATAGCTGGGGAAAACAAAAAAAGAGCCCACCTGTGCATCCTTACACATTTTGAGCACTTTCACAGCTCCATCATGTGTCTCTTTCTCTCCTGTTTGCTCCTGCATTTCCAGTTGTAACGCGTGTTTGTGAGCATTGCATTCGATGGCTTCCAATTGGAAATATGGCGCCGAACAGGTGATGTTGTCTGTGGGTTGCTCGGTGAGCAAGTTTATCAATTGACCATAGTTTTCTTTGAGGAATACAGCGCGATCTTCAGGGCATTCTTCTTTGAAAATTTCAAGGACACAGGATTGTCCATCGGTATAAGCCGTGTGTTTTATTGCAGGATCTTTCTGGAACAAGGAAATTGTAAATGGAACTACAGCAGGTGGATATCATGATCGGGGCCCAGGACCCAAGGGTATATCCAAAAAAGTACATCTAGGGTACAAGGTACGAGTTCTTACGGTACATTGGTTCAAAAGGTACATGGGACCTCGGGGTGTCGGGCGTTTGAGCCAGCTCAGTATCCAAGAATACATCAAAAAGGTACATCTAGTTCTCAAGGTACATGGGTTTTTTGGGCATGTGGGAGAACGATAAAAGAACGATACATATAAATGTGGGAGAACGATACTTATAAAAGGTGCTGGGAAGGTTGACAATCTGGGGTTAATTGTCCAAAACATTCTAGATTGAGAAACTGCGCCGAAGGCGCTCCAGTCAACTGTTTGAAGCGTCTTTTGTCCAAAACATTCAAGACTGAGGACAAATTTTAACAATTCAATTTTCTACTCACCTTCATAAAGTCATACTCTTTTGAACACTCATACTTCTCATTGATCACTGCCACGAAAAATTTCTCAAAGCATTCTTCAGATCCTTCTCCCAACAAATTCCGATGAAACGACAGAATTGACAAGTCTCCAGAACGTGCCAATATCAGAAAAATCAGTAGAAACTTATACATTCTGAAAATACGGGAAAATTGAGGACTTGCAAAGAAAACCAAAATTAAAAATAGAACAAGTCTGTCTCCATTATCTATTTATATGTGTTTTTGAGAAGGGTCCCGTGCGAAGAGACAACTGTTGTTGTTTCTTTTGTTTCTGATCAAAAAAATAACAATTTAAAAACAGAAAAACAAGAAAAGAAATAAAAGACCAGAGCTTAAATGAGAACTCACGGTTCCTATTGATCTGAATGTTTTAAAGAACTACTTGATCAGCAAGATCGTTCGTTTAGTAGTATTTTTTTTTAACAGTTGAAACTTCGAATAGTTTTATTCATGGAATAAATATTTACATGTAGCGACATATATACATCATGATACAGTTCCAATTTAGACTGGGATTTCTGGAGTCTCTGGAACAGATGGAACTTCTGGAAGTTCTGGAACAACTCCTCCGTTTCCTCCTTGAAGTGTCTTTTCAACTTGGGAAGCAATGTAGAAGATGGTGTCGATTTCCTAAAATATATAATTACATTGAATGTAGACGAGTCAGTAAACTTACAACTGGGAACTGTTGCTTCAGAGCATCAACGGCTTCCTTCTGTTTCTCAAGTGATAGATCCTTATTATTCAGAATGTCGGACAATTTGTCGAATACTGATTGAAGGTTGCTGAGAACTTTACTAATTGCAGCCAAAAGTTTAGAGACAAGATCGGCGACTGTGGCCAAGAGTTGCTGAATTTCACATTTACCAAAAAATAGATCAGATTTCTGACTCACCTCAAGAACACCCTCCGGGAGCAGAGCATCGAGTCGGGAGAGGAGTTCACTGATTGGAAGATCTTCCCCAAGAAGATCAGTGATTTTTTGAATAGTTTCTTCAGGAAGATTTCCGAGGATGTCGGTCAAAAATGATGGAATTTCAGTGATATTTCCGAGAAGCGGCAAACCCAATCCACCTGGATTTCCACCAAGAACACCCAAAAGATTTTGAAGAACATCTTGATTTCCTCCAAGAAGATCTCCAACAATTCCACCAATTCCTCCTCCATTTCCTCCTCCAATAATTCCTCCTAAACCACCGTCTCCTCCACCAACAACTCCTCCAATTCCTCCATTATCACCTCCTCCGATTATTCCATCAAGAATTGGAAGAGCCGAAGAGAAGGCAAGGGAAGCAATCAGAGCAATGGCAACTTTGGAAGAACACATGACTGGAAACTGAACTTTCAGATGAGATTGCAGAAAATAGACGAGAAATGATAGATTTCTCAACATTTGATGCCGTTTTTATACTGTTCTTGTTCCTTTTTTCAGACACATGAAGCAGATTAGTTTTTCTCGAAAAACAAATAAACTTTTTTATACTCGGATTATTCAAATTTGTGATATATTCGGAAGAAATATATTAGCTGATAGTAAGCCAACAGGGATATGGTTCTGAGTAAACTACACCAAGAATCACTCACATTCAGTCAAGGCTTAATTAACTAGCTGTTACTACATCTGATTCTAGAGATGTGTCTGTCTTTGATAGTTGGACAATTATTTTATGTAAATTCGAACTGATAAAAAAATATGATGATAGAGTGACCGTCTGGTGTTCGGAGATCATCTGTTTTGAATAAGTTTCTAGTTCGAATAAAAATAATAAAATGCTCAAAAATCAAGTTTCTGTTTTTAAAATATTGTATTTTGACAAAGATCTTTTTGTTACACTGGGTATATAATGGACAGTTAGATTCACTGAAAACCCATCAGTTTCCCAATCATCATTTTTAAAAATGAATTCAGATTTTTTCAAATTTAAAGCTTTTCAGTCATGTGTTCTTCCAAAGTGGCCATTGCTCTCATTGCTTCACTTGCCCTCTCTTCGGCTCTTCCAATTCTTGATGGAGTAATCGGAGAAGGAGATAATGGAGGACTTGGAGGAGTTGTTGGTGGAGGAGACGGTGGTTTAGGAGGAAAAAAAGAGGAGGAAATGGAGGAGGAATTGGTGGAATTGTTGGAGATCTTCTTGGAGGAAATCAAGATGTTCTTCAAAATCTTTTGAGTGTTCTTGGTGGTAATCCAGGTGGATTGGGTTTGCCGCTTCTCGGAAATATCACTGAAATTCCATCATTTTTGACCGACATCCTCGGAAATCTTCCTGAAGAAACTATTCAAAAAATCACTGATCTTCTTGGGGAAGAGCTTCCAATCAGTGAGCTCCTCTCCCGACTCGATGCTCTGCTCCCGGAGGGTGTTCTTGAGGTGAGTCAGAAATCTGATCTATTTTTTGGTAAATGTGAAATTCAGCAACTCTTGGCCACAGTCGCCGATCTTGTCTCTAAACTTTTGGCTGCAATTAGTAAAGTCCTCAGCAACCTTCAATCAGTATTCGACAAATTGTCTACCATTCTGAACAATAAGGATCTATCACTTGAGAAACAGAAGGAAGCCGTTGATGCTCTGAAGCAACAGTTCCCAGTTGTAAGTTTACTGACTCGTCTACATTCAATGTAATTATATATTTTAGGAAATCGACACCATCTTCTACATTGCTTCTCAAGTTGAAAAGACACTCCAAGGAGGAAACGGAGGAGTTGTTCCAGAACTTCCAGAGTTCCATCTGTTCCTGGAACTCCAGATGTCCCAGCCCCAATCTAAATCGACAGTTATTACATTTCTATTACATTTTTTCTGTAAATAAATTTCCGAGCATTCAAACTGTTTTTTTTTTGGAAAAAGGAAATTATTCGGGCTCAAACACCTAGTCTAGAATCATCACATGTTTTCACACTGCTCAGAACACAGTCTTAGTCCCAAAATAGTTTTTTTATATATTGCCTCTGTTCTCAGCTGAAAACATTCAAATTTCTCAGACTTTATAATCCCATTGGACTCTAATCGTAGACAGATTGTTTTCTAAGGAGCGTATGTAGCTCAAAAACAGTATATAATTGGAGATACTCTTGTAAATTTTCATTTCATGTTTGCTTTTCAACTTTGGTTAAACCTTCTCTAATTCTTCATTCCATTTTTAGAATGCCAAACTCAAGCCGTACACCTGACGAGTGCGGCCCCATCCGCCCCTTCCTCATTCTGTTCTCCGTCGCTGGAATCTTCGGATCCCCATTGTTGCTCTCCGCCACTCCGACCTACGATGGATTCGTATACGCCGCCTTCTCGGTGAGCTTCACCTTCCACTGTGTTGCTCTGTTTGGAGCTCTGAAACAAAACCAGCTGGCTCTCTTGGCTAGTGAGAATATTCTTTTCTTTGTTCTCATCGCCATGTTCTTCTTATACGGACTTCTTCCTATAGCCCTGTCCAGTTGGAAGGCATCCGGAAAGTCTTCGTATAAGGACTACCCATGGTATCCAATGCCAGAAACCAAGGGAATGAAGACAATACATGCTGAAACCGATTTCCGTTCTGGTGTCAAGGTTGGAGTCATTGCTCAGGTATTTCTGCTCTCCATTGCTACATGTAAGAAATCCATGTAAATCCTACACATAATGTTCAATTTTCAGTCTTCTACGTTGAATACAAAAACTGACACAACAAATTGAGCAGAACAACAACCTAATCCAAAAACTGACACAACAAATTGAGCAGAACAACAACCAGGAGGATACCGAGATCCTGGCTGAAAAATGTTGATTCTTCTTTTTTTTCATTTTTGAATAAACGCTTTGTTAATAATTTGATGTTTGGAGATTCAGAAGGCAAGAAAGATTAGATCCCATAAAGTTCAGGATACCGTCCAACCTGTAATAGAAAAGCCTCTATTTTAACTTTGAGCCAATTTATCTCGATCCCAGTCTAAGATATAAAAAACGTTGTCCGCTGACAACGTTTTTATAATACTGACAACTTTTTTTATAAATATATCACTAACATTTTATCAGTTGACCCATTTTTGGCATGTTAAGAGCCAAGGAAAATTAGCTCAAACTTGACAGTATAAAGCATCTGTTAATTAGACTTCAACAAAATTTCTGAAAATTGAATTTCAATGAGCTGTTGTAGAAATCAAGTCATTCCGTCACTTCAAAAAACAATCTTGAAATTGATCTGCCTGGTATGTGAGTCACGAGCTTTTGACTAGAACCAATATTGCAACACTTAACCACCAAAATGAGAATGTGAAGAGCGTCAAGGGGGGTGGGCGGATTTAGACATTTTTGATGGCATGACTCTGCCTTCTTTCGAATCAATTTTCAGAGATTTTTTTTGAGAACAACTGGTTTAGCGGCAAGAAAGTTTTCAAGGCTGTTTCTTTGGAATTTTTTAATTAGAAAACTATAATTTTTCGAAAAAGTAACCTTCAAAATACCGTAAATGATTTATCAGTAGCCCACACTATGCATGCTCTTTGAGCTTAATTATCTCGGTTCCTATAAGAGATATCAAAATATTGTTCACTGATAAATTATTTATCATGATATCAGCAATATTTTATCAGTTGACAAGTCACTGGTATCTCTCACAGGAATCAAGATAATTGAGCTCAAATTTGATGGTTTGGGTGGGCTTCAATGGGAGGAAACACAGTGAAGCTTCCATTCGGAAATACGGTAAGGCTTCCATTTAATCGAGGCGACCGACCGACTACCGCCGACTCAGCCGACCGACCTGGCCGAATTAGTGCATTTGCGCGTCAACGTGCCAGAGTTTGTTTGCGTACGCAGAATTTTATTTTACGATTTTGTGAACTTCAATGCTGCGCACGCAAACACCTAGCATGTTGACGTGCAAATACACGGATTCGGTGCTGACCGATCGGTCAGCTCGGTCGCCGATTTTTGAACGACCGAGATGGAAGCCTTATCCAAAAAAATTTCTCTCCACAAAAACATTAGTAATAAAAGAAGGAAACATGGAAACTGTAATCAAGGTGATTTTCATCATAAGACTTTTACTATAAAACCAAATCTTTTTCAAAATCCTTTCAACATCTTCCCCGTTTTTCAGAATGAGTATCTCAAGTGACTCGGAGCACGATGTTCCTCCACTCCAACAACCAAACGGATCTGTCCGATTAGAAGTCCCGACTATCGGTTGCATTCCAGTCCGTCCATTTCTCATCATCCTCTCCATTCTTGGAATCGCCGGATCCTTCTGGGCATTCATTGGTGTCATGGTTCTGAATGAAACTATGTTCTCCTCCTATCTAAAATGTTTCATCGGACTCTGCTTCCACACAGCAGTCCTTATCGGGACAATCAATTATTACGATGACGTTTTGTACGTATGTCAAAGGCTCACATTGATCTCAATGATTCTGAGCGTGTTCCTGGTTATCGTAGTTTTGGCGTCAAATTTGAAAATCGAGCAAGTTATTGAACTTCAACTGTTAATTGCCTTTTCTATATTTGGTACGGTTTAAAAAGTTTTAAATTTTTTTAAAAATGCATAATTTCAGTTACTGCTTTGGAGTATGTGTCAATCGAACGACTGAGAAAGTACATTGAAGCTCGGAGGGGAACCGGTGGAAATGAATCATTGGCTTGATAATAAAATATTTGTTTTCATAAATATCTACTCCTCAATTATTTGTTCTAGTTGCCTTGTTGGGGTTCGATCAGGAGGGACACTTTTAGCCACTGTAGACGCTAATTCTTCCAATTCAACTGAATTCTCTTTTTTCTTCTTTTTATTCTGTTTCCTTTTCTTTCTTGAAACAGGAGCGGGGCCTTCTTTTTCGTGTCTTTTGGCATAGGCAGCAATGAAAACTATAACTCCAATGAATCCCAAGACAAACAGCCTAAAATTAAACAGATTCCATTCAGAACGTTTTTTTTTTCAAAAACTCACATCTCCCACCATTGCCCAAAATCGTGACAGCAATACATTCCACAACAGTTCACTCGTCCGGAGCATTCGAAAAATATTGACTTTATCTGGGTGCCATTGGAATAAGTCACCTAAAATTCGAATTGGCTATTCATGGATTTTTTAAAAAGTTTTGTACATACATGTTCCAATTCGCCATCATCCTCTCCAAAAACATATTCACAGATAACTGTTGGATTGCTGACATTGGTTTCGGACCGAGCTAAACCGTAACTCCAATAGTAATTCCGGTTATCGTATCTGAAAAACGTTTTTTTTTACAAATACGTTTTTTCTAATTGTCGGAGCGTGTTAGAAATACCGCATTTGCTTTAATTCAAGCAAGTCTTATATCTGTATTTTGAGCTCAATTATCTCGTTTCTTACAAAAGATATCAAAAATCGGTAAACTGATATGACATTGATGATATCATGATAAACAATTTATTAGTGAACATTGTTTTGATATCTTTTGAAGGAACCGAGATAATTGAGCTCAGAGTGCACATATAAAAGTGCATATACATTTGGTGCATATACATTTTCCCAAACTTTGAATATCATCCAAGACCTCCATTTCGGTCAGTCGAATATCGGCGATCGCCGACTGACAGTCGACCGAATTAATGCATTTGCGCATAGAATTTAGGGCTCTATATAATTCAGCGGTCCCTAGAGAAATAACGGTCCGCAGTGAAAAAAAGCGGTCCGCAGGGAAAATAATGGTCCAAAAATACTAAATAACGGCCCGGAGCGAAGTTTGCGTTTGGGAATTCAGGAAAACCCCATAAATCCTGTTTTTATTGAATTTTCAATTACCAATCGAATTTTTATGTTGTCTTGTTGGTTTTTTTTACGCCCATGTGAAATTTCGTACTATCATTAATACAACACAATGCTTATTATAACGGAGCAGTATTTAGAAAAAAGTGAACAGCTTGTTAGTAATAATTTTCGTTTGTTTCATTCTTAATGCCTTTATTTTGTTCATACATCTGTTCATCTTCATTTTGGTGTTCTCTTGCATTTTGATATGTTATGTCCGTTATAATAAAACATTGTGTTGTCTTAATGATAATACGGAACACATGGGCGTAAAAAAAAACTAACAAAACAACATGAAAATTCGATTGGTAATTGAAAATTCAATAAAAATAGGATTCATGGGGTTTTCCTGAATTCCCAAACGCAAACTTCGCTCCGGGCCGTTATTTTCTTTTTGGACCATTATTTTCCCTGCGGACCGCTATTTTCACTGCGGACCTCTTTTTTCACTGCGGACCGTTATTTTCTCTAGGGACCGCTGAAATCATATAGAGCCGAATTTAGCATAGAAAGTTTGCGTACGCAGCAATAAACTTCAAAAAATTTGAAAAACGCGTGTGAGCCATAAAATAAAATGATGTGACTCTTTCTGGTCGTTAACTCGCAAATGCAGGAAATTCGGTCGAATGTCGTCGGGTGGGTCGGCGGTCAGTCGATCGGCTAAATTTCCCGACTGAATGGAAGCTTTATATTCGAGTCATAACTCAGTTGGCGTCCACTGGTCAAAGTTTCAATTTTCGAAAAAACAAAAATCTTACAAAATCGGTGTGGCAGCCGCAAGTACGACCATCGGATGTCCTGGCCGTATTTGGGTATTAGGGCTATGACCAAAGTGAGACGAGCGGAACGATGAAGAACCGTAGTCAGAAAAGGAGGAGGTTTTGGATTGTCTGAAATTTAGAAAATGTTACAAAAATTGAATTTTGAAATTCACATTTGGAACGACCTATTTTCAATTCAGGCTAGATACTGTTCCAGAAAAAAAACTTACACTTTATATCCGTGTGCACCGGTCCTCACACCTCCTGAATACGAGCTACTTCCTCTGATTCCACTTCCAGTTGACCCACGACCTCCCATAGATCCTCGAACTCCGAGCCCTCCTCTCACTCCATTCCCACGCATTCCACCTTTCCCTTTAGAACCAACATTCAGCCGAGACCTACTTCTTCCTCGCCCACCTCCTCTTGCAAATGTTTCATTGGGAATAAAAAGTAGAAAAAATAGAAGAAAAATAATAGACAATTTTAGTTTCATAATAATATAAATAATATCACAAGAAAGGCATTTGAGACGAATAAATGTGTCGGGAGCTAATCAAAAAAGAGAGTAGACACATGCGCTTTGTTCCCATGGAAACTCGAGTATTTGAAACAAGAGGCACAGAAAGTTATGGGAGAAAAAAAACAAAGAAAGAGAGGTTAGAGGGGGAGAGCGAGTAGAGATTGATAAACAATTCTTGGGTAGATTGTGAAATGAAAAAAATTATTGAGAAGGTAAAAAAAGTGCTTAGCGATCGCGGATGAAATACACAAAAAGTGTACGGTAGCCACACGAAAAAGTGGTAGACAGAAAATTATGATTATCAAAAATCCGTTTTCATTTGAACGCATTTTTTGGGATTTTATCTTGTTTGGTGGTCATTCACAGTCCTTTCCCTGACAGACATGTAATACATTTCCGGCTCATCACCGGAAATTTGGCGCTTTTTATTATAGAGTTGCGTTTTTTGTTATACCAGTCTTCTACCGCGAAATAAGACATGTATCCCGTTTTGAAATATTTTCAACAAACTATCGCTATATTCTCATTTTTCACGAATGGATTGCTCATCTTTCTGATAACATATAAGTCACCAAAATCTATGGGGTCTTATAGGTACTTGATGATGTTTATGTGTGGTTTTGAACTGTGTTATTCAATTATCGATGTATTGATAAGTCCGGAAGTAGTGACAAATGCGTACTACTGGATGTGTGGGACCAATGTGAATCAATCTTTGATTTCTATAAAATACGCTTATCCATCGTTATGTGAGACGCCTTCACTAGAGATCTTAAGTCTTCAGAACTTTTCAGTGATTTGGGTCGCCTCTCTTGGAATTGCTCTTGCAAGCTTTGGAGTTCAGTTTGTGTTTCGATACTTGATTGTAACAAGGTAATTGATCTGATAATTATGATTCTCAAATTTGCATACTCCAGAAAGAATAAGTGGGTCACAGGAACATTTAAACTATATATGTGGTTATTTGTTCCAATCATTTCTGGGAGCTTTTTTGCATTAGTGGTAGATTCATGTTTACTTCTCGACCAAGAAAACTACAGATTTATCATGTAAGCCACACTATGTTTTTTTTCGTTTCACTGGAAGTTTTCAGATCAAAAATGAAAGATCTAAAGGCTTTCCCATTGGAAAACTATATTTATTTTGGATTCTCACTCTTCAACCCAAGATCTAAACTCATAAACTGGTCTCAAGTCAAGGGAATCATTATCTTGATCTCCCTCGTCTGTATATCGTTTATTGCAATTTTATATTTTGGATCTAACGTATACTTTGCTATCAAACAACTTTCAGATTGTAATACGGAGCTTTCTTCTGCTTCAAAAGCATTTCAGACGCAGTTATTCTACTCTCTCGTAGTTCAAACAATTATTTCTATCTTCCTTATCCATTTACCATCTACCATTTTAGTTATCAATTCGTTTTTGGGCACCGCTTATGAAACATATGGGAATTTGATGACAATAACAATTTCATTATTTCCGGCAATAGATCCGTTGGCAACTTTTGTTATCATTAAACCATATCGGGAAGCAGTGATAGGAAAATTTAAAAGATAATTTATTGAAATTAAAGTTAAGTTTTCAGAGAAGTTTGGGGGTCGAACAAGAAATTCTACTTTGTATGAAGCTTCAAGAGGCTTTAGGAATAGAGCCATCACAATTTGAACCCACTTTTCTTGGAATTAAAACGAAGAATTACAGAAAAAGGATTTATTGATATTCAAACTGGAAACACAACCGAGCAGGATACATTAAGACAACATACAAATCATCACCACTTCTTTTTGTTTTTTTTAATTGGTCCATAATCGAACTTCATCCATTTACATTTCTCAATTCTTTCAAGTGTCCATCTTTTGTCCACCTTATCCGTCACAACTTTTCGGAGCAGTTCTGAAAGTTAATTTTTTAAAATATTCTTGTGATCATCAATAAATCTTACTGATAAGAGAGACATCCATTTCATCCCATGGTTTCCTTGAAAGAGTCTTGCCTTTGATCCAATCCACATAGCCGGGAGATTCTCTGAAAAAAGCAATTTAATGATACAATGTGACTTTAGAACTTACATGTCAGCATACTTCCACAATTGTAATCCACTAACTATGAGCATCAAAGTGACACCCGCGGACCATACATCTAGCGGGGGTCCTCGGCACTTTAGGGAAGCGTATAGCTCAGGAGCCGTGTACTCCGCACTTCCTACCCCACTTCCTAGCAGGATCTCTTCAGCTCCATACCGGTACCGCATCGCGGCGCCGAAATCACAAATTTTCAGCTCTTCTGAAAAAAGATTAAGTTATTGATAAAATCTACGAGAGTTCTTACCTTTACTCGTGATTAATAAATTTTCAGGTTTAATGTCTCGATGGACAATCCCCTGACCATGAATATACTTCAAGCCAGCTATAAGCTGCTTAAAGTAGTTTTGAGCTGCTGCTGGCTCAATTTTGTTCGTTTCAAATTTATCGAACAAAGTGCCACCATCAACATCTTCCATCACAAAATAAATGCAGTCAGATGTTCTGTGCATCCAGTACAAGTTGATTATGTTCTGGTGCACAGTTCGGCAGAGCTTCTTGTGAAGGTGGAACTCCTCCAGGATTTCAGCTTTTCTACAGTAGTCTACCTCCAGGACTTTAACTGCCGCTGTGATGTTTGGAGCTCGGATGTGTTCCATGAGGAAGACTTCTCCGAATGACCCATTACCTAGTTTTCGGACTGGTTTGTAAGGAAGTCCTTTAACAGCGGAAAAGTCCATTGTTAGATAAAAATAAGGTGTTTTTGGGTAGGAATTAGGATGGTGTTAGAATAAATGGACTAGTGGGGAGTGGCGTTTTTTGGGCCATACACATGGATAGGCGTGTCCATTATTCACAGGAGTGAAATAAGGTCCCTAACTACCTGACAGTCAAGGCCAATTATTGTCTCATATAATCTGCCTTGTCACATAGTGTTAGGGGCCCTATTTTACTCCTGGGAAGGACGCAGAGACGGGTGCACAATGGGGCGATGGGAAAATCATTTATAGGATTGAGAATGTTGACAGAAATTAGATAAGATTGGATAAGATTACTTGGAAACTCTAGGAATAATAAAGTGAACCGGTTCAGGCGAAAGGAGAGACGGAAAAATTCTCAAAATGAAGGTTTTTAAATAAACCCTCGCTAAATATAAAGGTTCTTTTTATGAAAAAAGGTATTTTCAGTAAAAAGTGATATTTATTTCAATTTTCCCAGAGTTGCCGTAAAGTCTGTTTCAGAAGGGCACCTGAAATAGAAGTGCTCCCTCTAATTAAAGGGCTCCTCTATTTGAAATACCCCTCTCTAATTGTAGTGTCGCTTTGTTAAATTACTTACAGCGGCTATTGCAAGACCCATGTCTTTGGAATAGTTATAGTTATCCAAAAAAACTTTAAATACTGATGAACGCAGTGATAATTGAAACTTAGATGAGCCTACACATGCTACAAAATAGGAACACAGACGTTATGAGGCATTGATTTTGTGACTAGTTGTGACTAGCCCATGGGGTTTGAGATGTGGGTCGTAATAAAAAGGGCAAGTCTGTTGTTAGTAAGGGCTAAGATATTTCATTTTGATATTAAACATCTTTTTTTTGGCAAGGAAGCTGTCAATTTCCAAAATTCCCTATTTTTCATGGTTCGAATTTTTTAGAGCAGTGGGAAGAAACACTGTAATACTTTTTCAGGGTTTCAATTTTACACTATTTTCCACTGAAATAATAGAACTACCATACTATTTTGTCCGGTACTGTATCTGAATTCTTCTGTAAGTGTCTTCTTCAAAACATGACAATAAAATTTTTCATTACGAATCAGAACTAATTAAACAGAAAAATTGTTTCCAAGTGGTTTCTAATATGAATAATGACAATTAACACAACCCTTCTGTGGAGGCGTAGATTCTGGACACCGAGTGAAACAAATGATATGAGGATGACACAAAATTACATTCAAAAACAAAACGTTTTCCGATTGGGGAATGGGAAATATCCAGAAGTACCATCTACCATTAGTCTCGGCTTCTCCGAATGTCTGGATAAGATTCTCTCTTCCTTCGAAATTATTGTATCCAATCTCGAAACTTTCGAAATTTGAAGAATTTATGAAAACCTGAAATGATTATTTTAGAATTAAAAATATTTTGAAGCTACCTGTTGCATTGTCTTCAAGTCCTCGCAACACACCGAGTGTATATGAAATTTTGCAGAGTTGAAATGCAAAAAGTTATTGATAGGAGTTGACACATAAAATGATCTTAAACCAAATGTTTTTGCTTTCCTCCACTGATTTGAAGTCACAAGTCTATCCATTTCGAACTCTTCGTGTGGACATATTTTTGGACTGGATATTTCAATGGATTTCAAATATTTCGAATCAATGTTAGGCAAGATTTGAAGTAGCTGTTCGCATTTAATTACTTCCATAGAACAATTTTCCACTTTTAATAGCTGTTTTCGAGACTGTAGAGTTTGCTCCAACGCATTCAAAAATCGAAATACAAACTTTTCCCGAGTTTCGAAATATGAAAGCATCGTGTACGGAATCACATTTCCGTAAGGTCGTTGATTGGTATTGATTGACCTAGTCATCGGAAAACTTCTTGTCGGGCACGGTGGCGGTCGGAGACATACTAGATGAACTCGAAAAAATTCGGTTTTGGATCGTTGGGCGCCTATGACTGCTTGAAAATCGTTTGAAAATGCATCCATCAATTCAACTCCTTCAAGAATGCACTCCTTTAGTTTTGGCCCATTATAAGTTGGAACAGGTGAATATTTTCCACTTCTTTGTGCCCATTCAGGGACGGGTCTACTTTGAAGTGGCGGAAGTGGCGGAGGTAGTTTCATTTCTTGTTTATAATAAGAAACAACGCATCCTTTTGGATGATCTTCATATTTCACATACGCAGAACTGCGAAAGTGGTATGAATTCATTCGCAAGCTTATTTTCCTTATTCCCGCATTCACTTCGATGGAATCCATATCCATACAAGGTTTGACATCATCGATGAAGTTTCGAAATTGACTACAAACTTTACGTAGAACAAATTTGGAATTTTAGCTTTTGTCAAAAGAAACCTGAATATTAACCCACATTGATAAAAATCCGCATTTTCGAAATATATCAGCCAACACATTTTCAGGAATGTCTATTAGAGAAATCGTCATTTTTGAGAAAAAAAACTAGAACTAAAAATTTTTATAAAATATTCTGCACTATGTTACAGCTGTTTCGTTATATTGCGAAAGGCTGATAAGAGACTCTTAACCTTTTTCAAAAGAAAAACCAGTGATGTCAACTTTCAAGTTTCTCACTAAGTTTTGGCTATGTTTTTCAAAGTAATGTTTTTTTCCAAGTTACCTAGATAATAGAACGCATTACAGACCAAAAATAAATGTCATAAATCTTCCTGAAAATGCAATCAGGAAAGTATTGGAGTATCTTGATTTTCAATCCATGTAAGTTTCCCACCGTTATTTGAACTCAAAAAACTCAAAACTCAGACTCATTCTGCGAAAGACATGTAAATATTTCCGGAATTTCATCGACGATTCTCAACCAGATTTTCACCTTTTCAGTATTGAAATCAGTGTGAGCTTCAATACAATCAGTCTGAAAATATTCTCGAACGATTTGGAACACTGGAAGAAAAATTACGTCGAGTATAACAAAAATGCGAATGGAGGGTACTCGGTGGTATGGTTTAAGAGGAATGAAGAAAAACGGAAAATTATGGATTTTGGGTATTGTATCACTGCTTTTTTGGATGATCTGAAAATTATATTGCGACATCAAAAGTCGGTTCTCAATAGTTTTAGTGTGTTTTTTGAAAACGGCTACAATGTGGTAAATGTTCATGAAGGATTGAAGCAGATTTTTCAAAACAAGGATCATTTTTTGAAATCCCAGAAACTCTGTATGATAGTGAAAGATGACAATGATGTCCTACCAATTCTATGTCTAATGGATCCTCTTGAACTGGAAATTATTGAAATTCATCGATTAGGAATCTATGAAGAGGATCCCATGCTGTTGATGGATCATCTGGTGGAAATGGATCAGTGGAAAAATGCAGAAGAATTGAGGATTGAGGGATATCGTCTCTCGAACTATTACGATCACATTTCGCATTTTAAAAATGTGGAAATTTCATTAAAAACAATAACAGTGGAATTAATCGTTAGTCTTAAAAATGTGAGTTAAAAAACGAAAATGAATAACAATCGAATTCAGGGATTCCTAAATTGCCCAACTCTGGCCCGATACAGATTCTATTTTCAACAAATCGAAAACGAAAGAGAAGTTTTAAAATTTCTTGGAGGATCGTATTCCGAGACTGTTTGGTCGGGAAACCTGCGCGGATTGGAAGTGGAAAATGAGAGATTTCATAGAAAAATGGAAAAGTCGTGGTTTTTCCAAACCTCCTGTTCAGATCGAGTTCTTGTGATTACAAGGGAAAAGTCTAGATATTTAGAAAAATTTTATTTTATTTGTTCTGAATTATCTGAAATCCCTCCCACTGCAATAATAAAAAAATCGTTTTGATATTTCCGTTTTCGTCTACAGAATGAGCCCCACAAAAGTTTGTACTACCATAAAATGTGCATAAAGCCCTATCCTGGGCTCAAATTTGGAGTGTAAAATTGAAATATTTCATCAGTAAACTGGCCAAGTTTCGAATTATTTGATAAACTTTGAGCTTGTCAAAGTTGCTTCATCTGCTAAGAATCACAACGGAGTGCTAGAAACATTCATCTTTGGACGACCATAAAACACCTAGTCTTGAAGAATTGCTCTGAAAATTTCAGTAGCTTTGAATCAAATATAGAATCATATTTCCACCAATTTTCGTGCCTCCAAGATACTCATGTCTAAAGATACACCCATTTTTATCAGTTAGGGTAATTATGCGCCACCCTCTATGAGTCATTCATAATTGTAAGAATTATATTTGAATTGAGTATGAGTTCTTATCAATTCCACTGGTTTTCAGTAATTTGAGTGAGGGCGTTATTCGATGTTAACAGTTAAACTGATTTTTCGATCACTCAGCGTCATTGATGAGTACTCAACAAGGTCGACAAGTTCTTCATTCTGATGAAAAAAAGAGTCAAAAACAAAACAATTTGAAGTCTTCAAAAATTTTAACAGCAACCATCTTTTCTTGATAGGGCAAATGCGAGACCCATAATTCCAAGGCATACAACACCAGCGCCGATAGAGATCCATACTGAGTAGCCCAACTGAAAGTTTTGTTCATTTTTCGAAGGGATTTGGAAATGAGTGAACTAACGTAAAACTCATCTGAATAGAAGCTAGTGCTCACATAAACTCCGATCAGCGTCACAGCAGCTACCGTAAACATAACTATCAAAAAAGCGGCCAATGCGATGAAATGAAACCACTTCCGAGTGTGACTTCCGTAACCATGATGATGGATTTTCGATCTGAATCACTGATATGATTATTAACAACATTACAGTCAATATTACCTTGCATTGTAGACAAAGAAAAACATAAGCAAAAATGTGGCGAAAGAAATGAACATGAGCCAACTAGCCGCAGCGAACCATGCAGGATCCAGATTCTTAAATGAATTTCGTAATTCCAAAACCTGAAAATTTACTGAACTTACTGCATAATACGGAACAATTCCAGTGCAACCGTAGTTACCATCATATTGATAGTCATTCATGCACACCCATGCAGGTGTGAACACTGCGACAGCGTTCGCCACAAAAGCAAGCACAACTAGGGCAATCAGAGCAGGCAGTTTAGGGTCTCCCATTTTTTTTTGAGTTGAAACTTATGATTAATGAAATTTCATTCTCAAAATTTCCTTTTATCAAGCAGAAGTGACTGCTCTTGGGTTTTTCGAAATGATGTGTTTCGTTATCACAACCTATGTATGACAGCATATATGAGACGGACGTATTTGAAGGGCCCCTTTAATAGAAAGTCCCTAATCGAAGAGCTTGAAAAATAGAAAGAAATTTTCGCACATTTTCAATAAAAAAATATACTTAAATTTCCATGAATTGAAATGAAATTTTTCATTTAAAAATGGCCAAACTAATAAAAGGACCTACCGTAAAACCTCTAATAGAACGACACCCGGATCGTCCACTTTGAGCCTATATATCTCACTTCTTTTGAAAGATATCAAAAAGTGGTTAACTAGTAAAATGTTTATCAGGATATCAGCAACATTTTACAAGTTAGCCACTTTTTGATATCTTTCACAGAAAATGAGATATATAGGCTCAAAGTGGACGATCCGGGTGTCGTTCTATTAGAGGTTTTACGGTATGTTATAGAAGGGCCCTCCGGAGGTCTCCCTCGGAACAATTGAAGGTCCGGCTCTTTTAATAGAGCTTTTTCGCCAGTTCTGTTCAGGAATTCCTAACACCAGGGTGCAATGATGGTACTTCGAGCTATTACGGTGCATTTGAGCAAACAGCGGAATAGTCACTAAAAATACAATTTGTAATTTTTCGTCCTTCCACATGGACCATAAAAACCCATGTACCTTTATAACCCAAGTTCTCTAATAACTTAATGTCCTTTTTCAATGTCCCCTCGGATGCTGGAGCTGTCCAAAATCTTTTTTCCCTCCGATACAATAAATTTCCGATTGATTTGAAGACACTTTCAATTTTTTTAACTCAACATTTGATAACGATTCTTCTTTTTGTTGATTGAAGTGCAACAGATAGTAAACAACACAAAAAATCAATCGAACTATTCAAAAGTAAACATTTACTGTTGTGAAATGTCTTTGCTGAAAATACCGGATGTCGTGATGAAGTGTATTATGAAAAAATTGGATTTTGAATCGATGTGAGTTTTATTTTTCTGTTTTTCACACAATTAAAAACGAATTTCAGCCAAAACCTCCGAAAGGTGTGTCGCACTTTTCGAAATTTTATAGATGAGAATAAAATTGATAATAATCTTGCTGGAATCATTGTGGGATTCTATCAAACAAAAATCAAATTGATATTGCGAACTGAAGTGAAATATTTGGACTTTTGGTATCAAAAAGAGGAAAATGGATGTTTGGTGGTGAAAGAGAAAAGGATGGATCCTCCAGACAAGGTACATCTAGAGAAAAATGCAGATTTCGTTGACGTCTTCCTTCGAGAATTCAAAATTCTCATGGATCATCAGAAATCGGTACTTGAAGAGATTTATGTTGGATTCCACGAACAGTTTGGATCAGAGCTGACAGCGGATGCTCAAAGAATGAGCAATGGAATCGAATCAACTTTAAAGTCCCGTAAACAATTCCTTCGTGTTGAACGGATGTATCTGTTGATGATAAGCCAGGAAAACGTTATGAAAATTCTACCACATCTCGATCCGGCGTTTCTGGAAAGAATTGACCTGAATCATTCACAGGAGTATCCCAAAAGATTATTCGCCATTGACAAATTGATTGTTTTGGAGCAATGGAAAAGAGCTATGGGATTGGGGATTTGGCGATGCTTGATTTCGGAATCAATTCAAAATTTGACTCATTTTATTAAAGCTGAATTTGTACAAAATCAGTGTTCTATGGAGATGTTGTCAAATCTGAAAGAGGTGATTTTGAAAGGGTATGCTGCCTTGAAAAACTTTTTTTACAGAATCTATCCAAGTCAAATTGGTTTAACATGTTTAGAATTTACTTTGAAAACTACCAAACTGACGATGAGAAGATGATATTCACAATTTTCGGACAACCTTATGAAGATAAGGATCAATGGAGGCTTCCAAGAAAACGCTGTTTCTCAAGAATCACTGGTAGCGATCAAGTGATTTCTCTGAAAATGGTGAATCTGGGAAGAGTGAATGGAGTTTGGATCTATCGTCTGCCTATCGCTTTCGTACCGAAAAAAGTTTCGAAAAAGCAATTGTTGAAATAGATCACTCCTCGGAAACGTCAATATTTCTTATCAGTTTCCCCCTATAAAGCCTTGATTCCGTGATGAATGAATATTTATTCTGAAAATGGCTCTGGTTCAAATGCCCGACAAAGTCCTTCAACAGGTTGTTAAGAATTGTGAGTTGACGGAAATGTAAGATAACAAAAAACTCAAACTCTGTCATAACCAAAAAACCAATAACCTTCAGTCAATCCCTTCGAAAAGTTTGCCACAAATTTCGCAACATTATTGAAGATTTCAAACCGAACTATCTTTTGAGAAGACTCGATATCGATTTGAGAGAAAACGAAGTGCTTTTGGATATCTACACTAATGCGAAGAACACGAGATGGCTACGATTTCTTTATGAAAAACAATCGAATGGATGCCTTATCACTTCTTTTGCTAAATTTGTGGAGAAAGGAGAAAAACTTGTGAAAAATGCGGAGTTTTTGAATGTTTTCTTTGAAGATTTGAAGCATATTTTGATGAGTCAGACGACGAGCTTGGAGAGTTTTCATATCGGATTCACTTATAATGATGATGATTTGAGTGGTCAGATTTGCAAGTCAATGGAAGAGAATGAAGCTCGTTTTTTGTTTAACATTCAGAAAATTTTAAATGATAGACGTCACCCTCTACTTATCGAAGATTTCGCAATGACAATGATCAACCAAAACCAAGTGATGCATGTTCTACCTTTTGTTGATCCCAAGGAACTTCGAAGAATCACTTTCCAGCATTCTCATCATCGTGATTGTTTGAAGGTCTTCGAAATGACCGATATCGTTATAACTGAACAATGGAAAGGAGCTAAAGAAATCGCAATCAGAGATTTTTTGGTGGATATTCCAAAGAAACATTTTGAACATTTCAAGGACAAAGAGGTCAACCATGTCTCGGAACTTCGGAATGCTCACCTTCTTTGATAATTTTTTTCGCAATTTAATGAATCATTTGTGTACTCTGAAACTGATAAGGAAACATGGAAACTTTATTGATGATGACGAATTTTGAGTTCAAAAAATCACTAGCACTCCCGATGTGCAATATATCCGGAAAGACAGCAAACTCCAAGAAAAATGGCACCAGAAGCCACAGAAATCCATGCCGAGTATCCAAGCTTAAAGAATTTAAAAGTTTTAGGTCAAAGGCAAAGATCAAATACTTACAGTAATTTCTAAACCACTATCGTCGTATTTTTTAAAGTTGATTGCAAGTAAAATTACAGCAGCAGCGGTCATAATTGAAATTAGAAGAGCAATTATAGAAATTAGAATGAACCATTTTCGACAACCACAGCAAAATCCAGAATGTAATACTCGAGCTCTGAAATTTTTTTTTGATTCCGCATCTTGAAACAAACAAAAAATGAAAACTTACTGTACGATAAAATAGGCAAAAATAGCTGTCAAAGTGAATGCGACTGTGATGAACATCAACCAGCTAGATATTGCTAACCAAGCTTTTTCAGTCTTAAAATGTGGGAAATTTTTCTTAAGAACTCATGGAAAAAGTGCTTCAGAACTCACAGAATAATATGGAACAATTCCTGCACACTCCTGAAGGCGCTCCGTCGTTCCGGAAAGCCAACATGGTGTAAAAACTCCAACAAAGTTGGCAATCGAGGCTAGAGCTATCAGAATACCAAGCCCATACACTTTTCTATGGGTCATTTTTAAAGTTTGTTGAACGGTTGGAATGCATGCTTTTGAGGTTTTTATATTTCTTATCAAAATTTTTGGTATGTTTATTCAAGTAGAGTTTTAAAGGAGGCCAGAGACAAAAAAAAAGTGATATTTTGCATAGAGAACCCCCATGAGGGGTTGAACTCATGACAGGCAGCTCAGGGGTACAGCGCCGCTACCGGCTGAGCTACGGGGGCGCGAAGGCTCCTGACGGCCGATGGTCTACATAAGCGCGGCGCGATTTCGTCCCCCGAACTGTCGCCCGAAATTTTTGCTGTCTCGCCTCCTTTGAGGCATTTTGTTGGTTTTATAAGTAGAAAATGACAAATTATCATTTCCAAATAAAAGTTGCTAGTTCAGTTTCCATGAAATGTGAAAATTTGAATTTAGAACAGTCCTAACTATTGATAGTTCTCAAAAACCAGTCATACTTTTTTTGGAGTGACAGAATGCGTTTTGAAATGACTGTGTACAGTGATCAGCGTTAACAGAGCGCCTGACTTTAGTGCCGCTTTCAAATATGATATTGATCGGCCCTCAGAAATATATTTTTATTTTATGTCTACCTCTTCTACATTGGTTCGCTTTTTATAGATAAAATCTTTGCAACTATCATTTTCAAAAAATTTTCAAACACAACCTTTTTTTTTCGATAAATTCCGATCTTACTTGGTTTTTTGCACTACAATCTCCTTGCAAAAGATATTTTTCAAACTTTTGAACTTCTAACTTTTGCAACAAAAACAATTTCGTTTGATCTCTATAATTTGAAATGAAATTTCAAATAACATCATGATTTCAAAAAACCAATTATCTTTGAAACTACCAATTAGTTTTTAGATTGTCAACAACTAAGATCCCCGAATTATTTCATAAATAATAACAGCTTGCCTAGTCGTACCAGCTACGGCTGAATCATATTCTCGAATTTTTTTCCCTGATATATATTTTTTTCAAAAAGGCAAAACTTCGAAAAATGGTTTACAACTGGACCGCTTACACTGATTATGGCCATTTCGAGTATGATCCTCAAGATATCGATTATGAGTTCCATTTGGTTACTTTTGTGACATACCACGGTAGAATAATTAACAGCTATTTTTGGATTGCAGCAATTGTTTTGAATCTTTTTCATATTCTCATACTAATTCAAAAGCAAATGCGCTCCAGTGCAATTTTCATTTATATGCTCGCAGTTGCTATATCCGATGTTATCAGTTTCATTCTTTCATTCCTTTTCAAAGAAGGGGATAACTCACATGTCGAAATAATGCCAATAATTCAAGAGTTCAATGATGATTTTTGGTGTTTTGAAGATCCATGGAAGCCTATAAACTTTTTACTTCAAATGGTTTATTCAGGATTCGGTATCTGCAAAAAAGTCTCCATTCTATTGGCAATTATCATGGCAGTTATCCGAACGTTGTCTATTTTATTTCCAATGAGCAATAAAATACAGAATATGGCTCAGCATAGGATGACCTTCTTTGTCATTTTTCTAGTAGTTTTAGTTTCTTTCCTACTTGAAACTAAAGTCATCTTGTGGAATGCTAGAATATTTCGCATCAAAGATATTCTTGGAAATTAGTGAGTTTAAAGTAGGGAGGGGGAGGTGATTTCACGGATTTTTTTTGGAGTTATGGCATATATAGATTTTTCTTATATCCCCCAACCATTGAGAAATTTTAAGAACTGTTAACAACACTTAATATTACAGCTGTCCTGATCCACCCAAGGAAGATCTGGAGAAGTATGTTCTTGTGATTCCACAAAAGATACTACTATGGACGACAATTACTTCTGCAATGATCGAAATATCTCTAAAACTCCTCCCTGCTGCAATTTATCCTGTCCTCACAATTTTTCTCATTCGAGAGCTAAAAGCAATCAAAAATCGGAGAGCAGACATGAGAAGTCAGCAAAATCAAAATACGAATAATACAACTTCTCTTATCACTTTCATGACAATCGTTTTTATGATCACCGAAATGTGGGCGGGGATTATTTCGGTTCTTTGGATTTTGAATAACATTTGGCCGGAAATTTTCAATGCTTTTCTGTAGGTCTAAATTCTAGAAGATTCGTATTGACAGATAATATTCAGCTCAATGACATATATTTCAAACCAAGGAGCTACATTGACAAGATCAATAAACTCCATATCTCATCCAATCGTTTGTATTCTGATGTCAACACAGTATCGAGATACATTCAGAGATGTTTTCTACGGTAATGCAATCAGCAAGAAAGCGATCAAGGTGAGTCATCCGCCTTGGCATTTTTTGATTCGGAAAATGTTTCAGCTCATGAAACTGGATTCCGGGGTATCTAGCAAAACAGCTTCAGAAGTTTCTCAGCATCCTTCAACCTTTAATAGTTGATACATCGGAACATATTGATAATATATTTGAAGGCTTTTGAAAGGTTCGATAATTTATTGTATGTACAGAATAAATGTTCAATATATACAAACGTCGTAATGAAATTATTAGACTGCAACTTGCGGAGTCTCTGGAACAGATGGAACTTCTGGAAGTTCTGGAACAACTCCTCCGCTTCCTGCTTGGAGTGTCTTTTCAACTTGAGAAGCAATGTAGAAGATGGTGTCGATTTCCTGGGAAATATAATTAAATTGAATGTAGACGAGTCAGTAAACTTACAACTGGGAACTTCTGTTTCAGAGCATCAACGGCTTCCTTCTGTTTCTCAAGTGTTAGATCCTTATTGTTTAGAATGGTAAACAACTGGTCGAATACTGATTGAAGGTTGTTGAGGACTTTACTAATTGCAGCCAAAAGTTTAGAGACAAGATCGGTGACTGTAGCCAAGAGTTGCTGAATTTCAAATTATCAAAAAACATATCAGATTTCTGACTCACGTCAAGAACACCCTCCGGGAGCAGAGCATCGAGTCGGGAGAGGAGTTCACTGATTGGAAGATCTTCTCCAAGAAGATCAGTAATTTTTTGAATAGTTTCTTCAGGAAGATCTCCGAGGATATCAGTCAAAAATGATGGAATTTCAGTGATATTCCCGAGAATAGGTAATCCCAATCCACCTGGATTTCCACCAAGAACACTCAAAAGATTTTGAAGAACATCTTGGTTTCCTCCAAGAAGATCTCCCACAATTCCACCGATTCCTTCTCCATTTCCTCCTCCAATGATTCCTCCTAAACCACCGTCGCTTCCTCCAACAACACCCCCAATTCCTCCGTTTTCTCCTCCTCCGATAATTGATCCGAGATCAGGAAGAGCCGAAGCAAGGGCAAGGGAAGCAATGAGAGCAAAGGCAACTTTGGATGAACACATGACTGAAAAAGCTTTAAATATTTAAAAAAAACTGATTTTAAAAACCAAATGAATGGAACAGGATGACTTTTCAGTGAATCGACGGTCCATTTTATACCTAGTGTAACAGGAAGATCTTTGTCAGAATCCAATATTTTCAAAACACAAATTTGATTTTTGAGCATTTTATTAACTTTATTCATACTAGAAACTTATTCAAAACAGATGATCTCCGAACACCAGACGGTCACTCTATCATCATTTTGTATCAGTTTCGAATTTACATAAAACAGTTGTCCAACTATCAATAGTAGAATCCTTCCAGATATTGAGTGTATTCTATCTCAAAAATGAGAAATCATTAAGCTAAAAGAACTGAAGTTTTTCTTACAATGAAACAGTGATTCTTCCTTACAGCTCTATTCATCGTATAAAGGGATCTGTGTCGTCTATGAAAATAGATATTTTCAAAACAAAGTGTCCATTTGAATAATCTGAATAAAAATAGTTATTTTAAGGATATAATCCGGTTGATGGTGTCTGAAACAAGAAACAATAACCGTATAAAAAGAACTTCAGATGGTGTGGATCGTATCTTTTCTCGTTTCTATTTTCTACAATCTCATCTGAAAATTCAGTTTTCCGTCATGTGTTCATCCAAAGTTGCCATTGCTCTGATTGCTTCCCTTGCCTTCTCTTCGGCTCTTCCAATTCTTGATGGAATAATCGGAGGAGGTGATAATGGAGGAATTGGAGGAGTTGTTGGTGGAGGAGACGGTGGTTTAGGAGGAATCATTGGAGGAGGGAATGGAGGAGGAATTGGTGGAATTGTTGGTGATCTTCTTGGAGGAGATCAAGATGTCCTCCAAAATCTTTTGAGTGTTCTTGGTGGAAATCCAGGTGGATTGGGATTACCTATTCTCGGAAATATCACTGAAATTCCATCATTTTTGTCTCATATCCTCGGAGATCTTCCTGAAGAAACTATTCAAAAAATTACTGATCTTCTTGGAGAAGATCATCCAATCAGTGAACTCCTCTCCCGACTCGATGCTCTGCTCCCGGAGGGTGTTCTTGAGGTGAGTCAGAAATCTGATCTATTTTTTGGTAAATGTGAAATTCAGCGACTCCTTGCCAACAGTCGCCGATGTAGTATCTAGAAGTTCGGATGCAAGTAGTAAAGTCCTCAGTAGCCGTCAATCAGTATTCGAGCAAAGTATGACCATTCTGAACAATAAGGATAATAGCACGTGAGAGAACAAAAGGAAGCCGTTGATGCTGTGAAACAAAAGTTCCCAGTTGTAAGTTCACTAACTCGTCTACATTCGAATGAATCATATTTGTCAGGAAATCGACACCATCTTCTACATTGCTTCTCAAGTTGAAAAGACACTCCAAGGAGGAAGCGGAGGAGTTGTTCCAGAACTTCCAGAAGTTCCATCTGTTCCAGAGACTCCACAAGTTCCAGTCTAAATACATCATTACGACACTTGTATATATTGAACATTTATTCTGTACATACAATAAATTATTGAACATTCCAAAAATCTTTAATTATTGTCAATATGTGAAACATATCACGATGATATTCAACAAATTTATAAGTTGGAGGAATCCCTTAAAATAGAGTACTTTTTTGAATATTATCTGAAAATTGCGAAAAAAATACGATTAAAAATTATTTAAATTTCATCGAAAGATTGAAAAAAATTAACTCGCAAAATAATACGACAGGTAGTGAAATTTTTGAAAAAAGGAAGGAAACTTTTTTCAGTAAAGGTTGTATCAGATTCGATTTGATGGGACGACCATTGTTGCTTATCACATCGAAAATTCGAGAATCCATAGACAGAAAGAGGGGCTTCTTGGCAGTTTCTGCTCCGCCATCAACCAGGCACCAATGATGATATTAAGGTTCGTTATGATGTCATAGCTTACGTTTTTATCGTAAATCTTTCTCATCATAGATCCACAAACGTTTTTAAAAATGCTTGGATCAGGAGAACATGCTGGCACCCGGTATCTTGATTTCCATGGTCACCTCTCCAATTGGATGTTGCGATTTAGGTCACGTTTCAGAGTTACCACAAGATTCATGTTTCTCTAACGTTTTGTTTTTGAGTTTTGTTATGTCGAACTACTGCGGGTAATTAACAGCCAACCTGTATTCTACATATTGACAATAATTAAAAATTTTTGGAATGTTCGATAATTTATTGTATGTACAGAATAAATGTTCAATATATACAAGTGTCGTAATGATGTATTTAGACTGGAACTTGTGGAGTCTCTGGAACAGATAGAACTTCTGGAAGTTCTGGAACAACTCCTCCGCTTCCTCCTTGGAGTGTCTTTTCAACTTGAGAAGCAATGTAGAAGATGATGTCGATTTCCTGACAAATATGATTCATTCGAATGTAGACGAGTTAGTGAACTTACAACTGGGAACTTTTGTTTCAGAGCATCAACGGCTTCCTTTTGTTTCTCAAGTGTTAGATCCTTATTGTTCAGAATGGTAGACAATTGCTCGAATACTGATTGAAGGTTACTGAGGACTTTACTAATTGCAGCCAAAAGTTTGGAGACAAGATCGGCGACTGTGGCAAGGAGTTGCTGAATTTCACATTTACCAAAAAATAGATCAGATTTCTGACTCACCTCAAGAACACCCTCCGGGAGCAGAGCATCGAGTCGGGAGAGGAGTTCACTGATTGGAAGATCTTCTCCAAGAAGATCAGTGATTTTTTGAATAGTTTCTTCAGGAAGATCTCCGAGGATATCAGTCAAAAATGATGGAATTTCAGTGATATTTCCGAGAATAGGTAATCCCAATCCACCTGGATTTCCACCAAGAACACTCAAAAGATTTTGGAGGACATCTTGATCTCCTCCAAGAAGATCACCAACAATTCCACCAATTCCTCCTCCATTCCCTCCTCCAATGATTCCTCCTAAACCACCGTCTCCTCCACCAACAACTCCTCCAATTCCTCCATTATCACCTCCTCCGATTATTCCATCAAGAATTGGAAGAGCCGAAGAGAAGGCAAGGGAAGCAATCAGAGCAATGGCAACTTTGGATGAACACATGACGGAAAACTGAATTTTCAGATGAGATTGTAGAAAATAGAAACGAGAAAAGATACGATCCACACCATCTGAAGTTCTTTTTATACGGTTATTGTTTCTTGTTTCAGACACCATCAACCGGATTATATCCTTAAAATAACTATTTTTATTCAGATTATTCAAATGGACACTTTGTTTTGAAAATATCTATTTTCATAGACGACACAGATCCCTTTATACGATGAATAGAGCTGTAAGGAAGAATCACTGTTTCATTGTAAGAAAAACTTCAGTTCTTTTAGCTTAATGATTTCTCATTTTTGAGATAGAATACACTCAATATCTGGAAGGATTCTACTATTGATAGTTGGACAACTGTTTTATGTAAATTCGAAACTGATACAAAATGATGATAGAGTGACCGTCTGGTGTTCGGAGATCATCTGTTTTGAATAAGTTTCTAGTATGAATAAAGTTAATAAAATGCTCAAAAATCAAATTTGTGTTTTGAAAATATTGGATTCTGACAAAGATCTTCCTGTTACACTAGGTATAAAATGGACCGTCGATTCACTGAAAAGTCATCCTGTTCCATTCATTTGGTTTTTAAAATCAGTTTTTTTAAAAATATTTAAAGCTTTTTCAGTCTGTGTTCATCCAAAGTTGCCTTTGCTCTCATTGCTTCCCTTGCCCTTGCTTCGGCTCTTCCTGATCTCGGATCAATTATCGGAGGAGGAGAAAACGGAGGAATTGGGGGTGTTGTTGGAGGAAGCGACGGTGGTTTAGGAGGAATCATTGGAGGAGGAAATGGAGAAGGAATCGGTGGAATTGTGGGAGATCTTCTTGGAGGAAACCAAGATGTTCTTCAAAATCTTTTGAGTGTTCTTGGTGGAAATCCAGGTGGATTGGGATTACCTATTCCCGGGAATATCACTGAAATTCCATCATTTTTGACTGATATCCTCGGAGATCTTCCTGAAGAAACTATTCAAAAAATCACTGATCTTCTTGGAGAAGATCTTCCAATCAGTGAACTCCTCTCCCGACTCGATGCTCTGCTCCCGGAGGGTGTTCTTGAGGTGAGTCAGAAATCTGATCTATTTTTTGATAAATGTGAAATTCAGCAACTCTTGGCAACCGTCGCCGAACTTGTCTCCAAACTTCTCGCTGCCATTAGTAAAGTCCTCAACAACCTTCAACCAGTATTCGACCAATTGTCCGACATTCTGAACAATAAGAATCAAAAACTCGAGCAACAGGCCCAAGCCATTGATGCTCTGAAACAGAAGTTCCCAGTTGTAAGTTTACTGAATTGTCTACATTTAATTTAATTATATTTTCCAGGAAATCGACACCATCTTCTACATTGCTTCTCAAGTTGAAAAGACACTCCAAGGAGGAAACGGAGGAGTTGTTCCAGAACTTCCAGAAGTTCCATCTGTTCCAGAGACTCCACAAATTCCATTCTAATAATTTCCTTACGACATTTGTATATATTGAAAACTGTATTATAAATATCGAACATTCATTCATTTAACCAACAATTCATCAAAGTATCAGAAAACAACATACCGGATTGAAATCAAAACAGAAAACAAAATACCGTATTTTCTCTAATGAAAGCCCACCTAATTGAAGTTCGTGCCAGTGCGGCTCGTCTATTCGGTTATTGTAGGCATTTTCTTTTTTTCAATAAAAAATTCTGGTAAATTCAGTTTTTGGTGATTTTCTCAGAGAAATGTTAAAAAATAGAATCCAATAAACTAGGGAGCAAACGGTTTTTCTTCATAGCGTTGCAGACTTTCTCGACTCGTAGTGAAATGTTTGAGAACAAACCAGAACATTCATTTTGGCGGAAACAATCCTGGAATTGAATTGAATTCAGTTTAGAAACAGAAAGTGAATGTGTCACCCGAGCATCTTTGCAGACATCCGTAATGCTCCAAAACCGGTCATTCATAAACCAGTTGTAAACCAGCTCAAGCGGCGAGAGACCGGAGGTTGCAACATCAATCAGTTCCGCAAAGATTCCCATGCATTCTTGTTCTAAAAACATGTGATAGGGGTCGCAAGTTCGAATTTCTGGCTTGTTGGTCATGTATTCCACGAGATAGTTGTAGCTTTTCACAAAGAACTTTCTTGAAGTATCGTTGCAGTTCTCCTCGATATGATTCATAAAACATTCTTCACCTTCCATGAAGGTCTTATATTTCTTATCCATTTCATTCTGAAAGTATAAAAGTAAATCTTGAACTATCAATTTTAAGTATATACCTGGAAGGATGGAAATTTCGCATAACAAGATGAGTCCTCAGTTTTGTTAGCAACATACGCTTTCTGGTGGAATTTTTGAAGACATTTTTGGTTTTCAGCGTAGAAGAATAGTGAATAACTGCACACCTTGTCTATATCATTGCGTAGGGCATCGGCTTCAGAACAGTTCAAATCAGACACACATCCCTGAAAATAACTAGTGGTTTGGAAAATATCAGAAGAATTACTGCACTCACTTTCGCCTCCTGACAGAGCTTCTCCAAGTTTTGATAATACATTGGGTCATGAATACGGTCAGTATAGAGCTTTGGGTACTGATTGATGACTTCAATGATTGGGGCACAGAGGGAGATCGACAGTTTCTCTTCATCTCGACATTGATGGAGAACTTCTTGAGACTTGTTGCCTGCTTCAGAGCATTGAATGATGGACAGCACCAGTAGAAGATGTAGAAGAACGCACATGCTGAAAATTTCCATTAGTTTTATCGTAAAATCTAGAATAGAAAAACGTCCTGACTTTTAACTTAAACTCTTTATCTCGGTTCCTGTCAAAGGTATGAAAAAGTTGTCAACTGATAAATTGCTCAAAATAATGTAACAAACATTTTATCAGTTAAAAAAGTTTTGACATCTTTCACAGGAATCGAGATAATTGAGCACAAAGTTGACGGCTTAGGCGGACTGCTATTAGAGGAAAAACGGTGGTTTCGAGAAAAGAGAAAAATCATGTTAAGATGCTATCAGCAGTGTGAAGGTAGGATAAGTGAACCACGAAATCTGGCCAAGAGGTAACAAAAGAATCTAATCAAGAACTCGTCAAACTTTGGAATGAACGAAAAAACCCATTGAACCTCGACACTTGATTTATTTCGCTTTTTTTCGAGGATCGCCAGGAGAACGAAATGTCGTTTGCACATGTGGTGTCTTGTCAATCAAAAAACCATTATTTTTTAAATAATGGACGGAGTTTTCGAAACGAATGGAGCCAGAGCACACTTGAAAAACAGGGGCCGGCTGAGTCTGATCGGGTCAGGATGGAACGGGTCGGAAATTCTCAGGTCCCTGCTCGATTCGTCTCGGTTTTCCACAGTTACAAAAATTCTGAACCGAGATACGCTGGGCCGGGCCTTGAGAATTCTGGAAAAGCGCGACCTATCCCGTTGCAATTATGGTATAGGTCAGGATGTTATGGGATTTTTGCATCATTTCAAAGAAGGATAGTGCTTGAATGTTATCAGAACATTTGACTTCCCTTTCGGTGTGAAGAACATGAACTAATTATAGATGGTTGAGAAAAAAAAACAAATTTGGTGATAAGGATTGACAGTTTTTTTCTGTGATTAATTAAATGGATAACCAAGAGTTAGGCTAGGTATGGGCAGAAGAAAGCCAAATCGCGAACATCTAGTATAACTACTTACTATTAGATTCATCTTAGAGCCATCAGCGAAATAACTCTCCCCGTCGTAAAGAACGATGACAGAAGACACCCCCATGAAAATCAAAGATGTGCAATAATTCATGACTAACGATGAGCTCAAACTCAAAACTGTGTAAGACGGACCACTTTTGAATGTGTGAGAGGTAGATAAGAGATGGGAGCATTAATCAAAATTAATTTGTTAAGATGGCTGAGAAAACTCGAGAGGAGAGTTAACGACAATTGTTTAACGATGTTGGCTGGTTCTTTTTTGTTTAGAAACGAGTAAAGGGGTTTTTGTAGTCCTTGGATAAAAATAGCGGAAGGATTTATTCAAAATGGAACATTTGGCAAAAATCAAAGCCATTCACTGAGCTCTTCACATTTTTGGCTTAGTTCCGCTTTGTCTACCGAATCGAAAATGCATCTATGCTCGGCATAACAAATCTGAAATTATATAAATTCAGCCGTCTACAACGTACGGGGTGGATCACAAGCACCCGGACTGATAAAATAGGACATCGTCTTTATCAAAGCTCAAAATCAGTACAAAGCTTTGATCCGATTTTATGTTACTTGAGTCCGGGTAATTATGCACCACACTGTAATTCACCACTCACCTGAGTCTCTTTACAAAGTTTGAAGGCGTCTCTGGCTCTGGAACCCCGAAAAAATATTCTAAACCCGTTCAAAGTTTAAATTTTATCATCAGTTTCATCTTCTACAACATGACAGCGAAGGGCTTTGTATTGATGATAGTCGTCTTCACAGTCATGAATCTTTGGTAAAGTAGAAATTGTGTTCACGAATTCGTCAAATCGGTTCGCGAAATACTCTATATGTCGTAGCAATTGTCTTTCACAAAACTCAAAAAACAGAAATTTCCATCATTGTAAGCTTCACGCCTCTTGTCGAGATCTTCTTGAAAATTATGACCCACATTCACCGCAAACAGACTATTAGAAAGACAACCCGAACTTTCATCTTTGAGCCAATTTATCTCGGTTCCTGTGCAAGGTATCAAAAAGTACTTTACAGATAAAACGTTGCTGATTTTATGAATAACATTTTGTCAGTTGGCCACTTTTTGATATCTTTCACAGGAACTGGGATAATTGAGCTCAGCTTGCACACACAGGGTTTGCTTCTATTTTGAAAGTACCTCAAGAAAGGGATACATCTTCAGACAGGCCAGTTCTTCTTGATTTCGATGGTATCGAACCGATTTTATAAAATCAATTAGACATCTGTTCTTGTCAGGAAAGTAATGAATCAACTCATGACACACATTGTCGATATGAACTACTTTTGACGAGTGTGGTTCACAGCTGAGCTCATTGTAACATTTCTGAAAGTGAGAATGTTAAGGCTAGAAAAAAAGAAAGTAAGGACCTTTGTTCTTCTACAAATGTTGATTACACTATGATAAAACTGCAGGAGAATTTCTTCTTATTTATATCTTGCTTGATATCCTTTCAATTGAGTTAACAGTGGCTCACAAACAGTCTTCGCAATATAATTTGAATTTTTGAATTCTACATTTCAATTCTACATTCACTTGATCAAATGCTATGTTCTCCCGATTCTTGAATATTGTTCTGTAGTTTATTCCCCTCCGCCTTCTTCTCGCCTTGCTATAAAACTAGAATCTCCCTTAAGATTTTTCTCTAAGCGTATTTTCCAGCGTTGTAATATCCAGTACAGTTCCTATTCTGATCGTCTCTCTATCCTCAATATGTTCTCCATTCGACATCGTAGGCTAAAAGCTCAACTAATTCTTCTCTATAAATTTTTAAATGGCTCCGCCTACTTTCCTAACCTAAATGCACATGTCAAATACTCCTCCTCCCCTCGTCGCCCTATGAACTTAATTAATGTTCAGCCCTACTCCTCTGACTATTTTTCTTCAATTGTTCCCATGTGGAACGCCATCACTTCCCAAGTTACCCGATTTCTCCTACCTTCCGAGTTTGAATTTTTAATTTCTTCCAGTATTACTCGTTATTGATATATTTGCTCTCCTATTTTTCTTTTTTCTTTTCTCTTCTTATACCGGTTCCTGTGTCAAATATCTAAATTATCCCGTTTCCCCTCCCCTACTCAGATCGGCCTCGTAAGGGGCATTTTTCTGAGTCTTTCATGTCTTGCCCTCTAATGTTTTATTACACCTGATCAATAAACAAGTTAAATTAAATATGTCGTTGTATTTCGGAACAGTTTGGAAGAATTTCTCCGGCAGATGCTGTTGCGATTAGGAGCATAAAGAAAATGATCAAAAGAGGCATCACTCCGCGAAAATGATATTTCTGAATCTCGTTTAATGAAACTTCTCTAATAGAATCCCACCGTATACGTACATTTTGAGCACAATTATGTATCTCGGTTCCTTTGAATGATATCAAAAAGTTTGTCACTGATAAATTATTTATCTTAGTATCCCCAATATTTTATTTGTTGCCAAATTTTTGATATGTTTCATAGGAACCGATATATTTCAGTTCAAAGTGGACGTATTGGAAGGGCTTCTATTATAGCATTTACGATAGTTGTAAATTTAGAAAATTGGAATCAAACCAACTGAAGAATCAAGAACGAAAAAAAGACAGGAATTTGAAAAAAAATACTGCAAAGTGAGACAGTTTGGTCTCGATTGGGGTGTACTCCACCAAAAAGTGTTATCGACTACAACTTATTCTTATCTGTCATTCATCAGAATCTTATCGTTAATGATTCCATAACATTATCAGGAACACCGGTTCTGTTCTTGGCATTTTACAAACCCCACATGGGTGAAACAAGCTTGTCATTGGCAGAAGAATGATCTCCCGACAATCCTAGAAAAAACTTTTTAAATTTTACTTCACTCGGCTGTCAGCTTGCAACTTCTGGACGGAAGTTGAGGGGGGGGGGTTGGCTTTTGTACGAATCTTGGTCAGATTTTGGTCAGAAACTGCCCACTGGTAGCAGTGGGACGGACAATGGTCGGATTTAATGGCCGGAATTTGAAGGCACTGCATGTGAAGAGGTCGGAAGCTGGCCGATAGTTTGTCGGATCTTGGTCGGCTTAACACAATGTCTTTGCCGTAATCTGACCAAACTCTGGCTAGAAGTAACCGGCGACGCCTGAGCAGGGATGTATTTGAAGAAGGGAAATAGAAGAAAAACAAAACGAGGGAAAATAATATAATTCATTTAGTTCGCTCAATCAGAGCTCAATAACATTTATTGGCCTGCATTTCCACAAAGTTGTTGTATTTTCGTAGGAATAACACTAGAGGAAAAACACTCGTCTCCAGCAATGCATTCCTGCAAAAAACTATTTTTTGAAATGAATTAGCGGTTTCTCCCCTACCCGAATATCTTCACACGCTTTTTCCACAGCCAACGACTGTGAGCCTCCAAAGAGCCTATCGAAAAAGCCTCTATTTTTTATTCTCTTCTCCTTTTCAGCCAATAAGACGTGGCACCGCATATGCTTCATTTGTTGGTACTCGGTTCCACAGTCGTTGACTCTTGGGTCGATAGAGATGGCAATCACAATTTTTTCATATCTTTTCGAAAAGTAATGATGTGAATTCCAGGAGCAGTTATTTTTTACATAATCCATGAAACAGTATTTCCCGTCAGTATACGCGGTGTGTCTTCTAGCTGTATCGTTCTGCAATTTTAAAATCAGACAATGTGTGAAATTAGAAAAAACTTACTTCCATGAAAGGATACTGAAGAAGACAAGGTGGCTCTGGTAACGAGGGAGCATTGTAAGCAGCAGAGAAGAAACTCATTAAGCATTCTCTGTTTTCCGGGAACATCCAAATATTGAAATCACAAGCCTCGTCCAAAGCAACTCGATATCTTCTGGCTTCATGGCATTTTAGGGGCTCATAGCATTCCTAAAAAAATGGTTTTCTACTGTCTGCAATTTCAAGAACTCACCATCGCCAGCTCACATGCTGCATCAATTTCTTTATAAAACTCGGGAGCTGCTCCGCTGTTGGAATATTTTTCCCGAATTTTCATAATGTCAAATCTCATTGGGTTGCAAGTCAGCAACGCTTTCAGTGTCTCATTGTGAGTGCATTGAGGGAGATGCGGAGGAGACTGGGATGACAAAGCAAAACCGAAGAAGAATGCAAATGAAATAAGGTGGATCAGCATTACTGAAAGTAAGGTAATAGCTTAAAACGATAGAGAGCATACTTGTAATCTGGGCCTTTGCCGGGCCTTCGCGGGCCCTGCCATAATTTCTTTCAGAATCTATATTTTCGAACCAACTAAATCAGATATGATAGAGCTCCACGAGTACTACAAAACGGTATTATTTTGAATACTGTATCTTATCTATGAACAAAGTTACAGATCATAAAGTGGCTTAAAGTTACAGATAATAAAGTGGCTTAAAGTTACAGATCATAAAGTGGCTTAAAGTTACAGATCATAAAGTGTTCTCGCAGGGCCCGGCAGGCCCGGGGCGGGCCTGCTTTTTTTGCTCCTTTTGCTCTGTAACTCTGTTCATAGACAAGATACAGTATTCCAAATAATACCGTTTTGTAGTACTCGTGGAGCTCTATCATACCTGATTGAGTTGGTTCGAAAACATTGATTCTGAAAGAAGTTATGGCAGGGCCCGCGAAAGCGCGGCAAAGGCCCGGATTACAAGTATGATAGAGAGCAAAAAAGTTGAGAACACCTATCTTCCTGGGATATGTGATTCATGAAACTATGAGAGAAAAAAGAAGCGTGACGAATTCGTTAAGTAATCTTATCTGTCTGAATCCTTTTTTATCTTATCTCGAATTGTACAGTAGAACACATCAAAAAGAAAAAATAATCTCTGTTCATTAAACTTGATATTTGGGAAGGGAAGATAACATTTATTACAATAAAATCACTCATTCACAATCAAGAAGCTTTACTACACGCTCCATAATTCCATCATAGTCTACTACAGCTTTTTTCCGCACTTGTAAAGAAACTAAAATTGGAAAGCGCGCCAAATTTGGACGCGTAGCGCGGTCGCGTCGCGGTTTTTCGCTGAGTAGCGACTCAACAATGCTTAACTTCACGTTTTTTTCAAAACACGTTTTGGAATGTTCAAATCTGGCACGCAGCCAACTTTCGTGTGCGATGAAGCGCGCTCTTTCTAGGTTCCCAACTGCGATGCCGTGTGAAAAGTCTACCAATGATTTTTTCTGAATTAAAAAAAAATCTTAAAATTTGGATCATTTTGAGCTGAAAATTCCAAAATCGATTCTTCAAAAATGTTGAAAACACCAAATTTGTCAAGGTTTTTATATATTCAAATAAAGCATTTTTTGTAAACATATTGAACCTAAAATTAACAAAGAACACTTGTCAAAAATTCAATTTTTTTTTTGGAATTTTCATCACTTTCTTGTTATCTCCAATTCTTGAAAGTTTTGGCTCGAAATGTGGAATTTTCAATTTCTAGATCATTTTGAACCAAAATTTTTGAAAAATTGGTCGATAGTCATGAAATAAGCTGTGAAATTTAGCACATCAAGTCACAACTTTCTGTGAAAAATGGGGATTTTAAAATACACTTTTAAATTTGTAATATTATAAAATTGTTCATTCAATGCAAAAATTATGGATTTCGTATCAAATTTGTCCCAGGGGACCTTCAAGGTTCTGTACCTAAGGTCCTGGGGTCCGTGGACCTTCCATGGACTAGCTGGGCCCTCCAGGAAACTCCGCCCACCCACCGGACCCTCGTTTTTTCAGAGAACTTCAAAGTTTGGCAATTTTTTCTAACACGATTTTTAGGATCTATAATTGAATCCAGAATTTGTAATAAGGTTAAATTACCCCTGCTTTTTCATACGCCCAACATTCTACCAACGATTTTTTTCTGAATTAAAAAAAAAGTAAAAATTCCAAAATCGATTTTTCAAAAATTTTTCGCACCAAATGTTTTAATGTATAAAAATAAAACATTTTTCAACATATTGAACCCGAAATCAATAAAAAATACTTGTCGAAAATTCAATTTTTTTGGAATACTCATCACTTTCTTGTTATCGGTCCAATTCTTGAAAGTTCTGGCGCAAAATGTGGCATATTTTCAATTTCTAGATCATTTTGAATTTTTGCTCAAAATGGCCCTCCGGAGGTACCTTGGAACAATAGAAGGGCTGGCCCTTCTAAAGAAGTTTTATGGTATTCATAACTTTTGTAAAATTGGGAATTTCGGCTCAAAATCTGGCTTTTCTTCAATTTTTGGATCTTCCTAATTGTTTAAAAAATTGGTTGAAAAATATGAAATCAGCAATGTAATTGAACGCAGTTCCCCAAGCCGGCAGTGACCTTTACACTTTGAGCTCAAATATCTCGGTTTCTGTGAAAGATATCAAAAATGTGTCAACTACTAAAATGTTGGTGATATTATGATAAACATTTAATCAGTTTAAACATTTTTGCTATCTCTTACGGGAACTGAGATAAATGAGCTCAATTTCAATGTAATTTAACGCATTAGGTCACAACTTTATTCCAAATCAAAAATTCTGGATTTTATATCAAAAATTTGTAGTCTTAAAGAAGACTTTTGGCGGGTTCGGCTCGTAGAACTTTAATTTCCATCGTGGAGAATTCTTTTGGTTCTAAAAGAACTGCTCATTTGCTGAAAGTTTAACTTTCAGTGACATTTCATTACTTACAAAAAGCTCAACGATCTCAAAGAGAAACAATCGCTGAAATTTCAATGAACGCGAAAGAGCAAATATGACTTTATTTTTAGGTAGATTGTAAATCAGAAAACACACACAACAATGAATAAAAAGAAACATTTAACAGGAAATGTAGAAGCGATATTAGCAATGAAAAGTTTTCACGAAAAATAATAATTAATGAATATGATTTTGAGAACAAGAACATTCAGTTTGACAATTTACCAATAAAAATTGGACTACAGCGTTCTTGATTTGGACCACAGTGAATAGTTCCGTAAGTGCGTTGTCGCAATCTTTGTTTTGAAATTGCTAGATCTCTCTCCAGAACCGACTAGGGAAAGAGTTTGTTGTATATGTCTGAAATAGATAAAACCTTGAGAGCTTCTAGAACTTTGGCAAAGATCGTTCATTGCGTTGTGAGCAGTTCTAGAGAACTCAATGTTAGGTATGGATTGGAACTGTTCTTCGCAGCTTGGACACTTCACATCCACATCGATAGTAGTAGAGATATCAAAAAGTGGTTAATTGATAAAATGTTAAGCATAATATCAGCAAAATCAGTCAACAAGTTTTTGATATCTTTTATAGGAACCGAGATATAATTGAGCTCAAAGTGTGAAATGTTGGGTTTTCGCGTGGTGCTTGCACTTTGACCTTAATTATCTTGGCTCCCATGAAAAATACCAAGAAACTGTCAACTGATAAAATATCAAGAATAAGACCAGCAACATTTTATCAGTTGACAGGATTTTCGGGAATTGAGAATAGAGGATATTTGGACTCAATTAACATATTGGGTCATAACTTTATTGCAAATTGAAAAAAATTTGGATTTCATATCAAAAATTTGTAGTCTTAAAGAAGACTTTTGGGGGTTCGGTTTGATATTGAGCATATGTGAGTCGAAATTCGGAGGATACCAGAGAGGACAACGATGAGATCTACATTGTTGGAAGAGCCGTCGTCAACGTCGAACCATCAGGAAGAACGATGGTACAGGTCTGCCGGATGCTACAAAATTGGGCGAAAAAGTTCCCTTTTTTTTCAGCTCGTGAGGATAGTCGTCAGCCTAATATAGAGCTAAGTCACACATCGTACAAAGTGGAACACTGACTTTTGATGTTGTTACATTCTACGCCTATTCTTATAAGTTGAATGTATTATTATTATTGACGTGAACTACCCTGGTTCACTAACCCTTTCTATTTTGGCGATCAGGCAAAACTAGCGGTCAGGCAAAGGCTATGGCAGACCTGACTCAACAACTGGCTTCCCTCATCACAGCTTTTGGACAATTCGTACAAAATCCAGCATCATCTCCTACCTCTGTGCCATCAAATGTGTCGACTAGAACGAGTCAGTTGGTGGAATCTATTTCGACTCGAATTCCGAATTTCTCGTACGATCCGGATGAAGAGAAGACATTTGATGGATGGTGGAATCGATATGAAGATATCATCACCAAAGATGGCTCTTCTCTCACAGAAGATGCCAAAGTCAGGTTCGTTCTATCAAAACTAGATTCCAAAGAGTACTACCATTTTTCAAATCGAGTACTGCCGGCAACTCCCAACTCCCTCAAATTCACTGATCTGATTTCAAAGCTTTCCGACACGTTCAAGTCGACTTCTTCAATATTTCGGAAGCGTCAGGAATTTTTGAGAATGGAGTACGATGGATCATCGATTGAAGAGTACACAGTCCTGGTACTCCGCCGGTTCACATCTTCAGAATTCAAGAAGATGACCGATGATCAAACATGTTGCATGGTGTGGATAAATGGATTGAGGGATAGCAGCTACATCGATATTCGAACCAAAGCACTTCAAATAATGGAATCGAAGCCTACTACTACACTTCTTGAGCTGGAAAAAGAAATCAAGAGACTCCTGGACATCCGAGAAGATTCCAAAAGTGTGTGCAGAGTTCAACAGCCAGCAGAGGTCAACGCCATCAATCGAAAATCAAGCACGGACAAATCACAGAAATCTCAGAAGCCTCCACCGTCACCATGCTTCAAATGTTCTGGAAATCATTGGGCTAGAGAATGCCAGAAAAAGGTCACATGTCTTAATTGTCAAAAGAGCGGTCACATAGCTAAATTTTGCAGAACCAAAGTAAAAGGCAATGAGTGTCCAAAAGGCAAAATTAAATCGGTCATAATTGGTTCAGCAACCAACTCACAAGTCAACCGTATCTACAGGACAGTCATTATCAATGGAAAAAAGCTGAAGATGCAGATGGATACAGGTGCTGATATCACGATGATCAGTATAAAAGATTGGAAGCTGTTGGGCCGTCCAGAACTTCAGTCACCAACAATTCAAGTGAAATCTGCAAACCATCAACCGATTGCCGTCAAAGGATTTTTCAAGTGTCATTTCAAGCTGAATGGTACATCTGCATCGGGAATGGCTCATGTGGCGGAGACCGGAACTCTTCTGGGAACCGATTGGATCTCCAAGGATCCACATTTTTGGCGAATGCTAAACGCAAACCAAGTCAGCAAAGTTTCTTCCGATGTTGGCTCAGCATGCGACTACCTGGACAACATGCGCGAAGGACTTAAAGCTGAGTTGAATAAACAATTTTCAGATGTCTTCAAACCAGAACTTGGTCGTTGTACGAAGACAAAAGCATCTCTGGTACTAAAACCGAATGCTCAACCAGTATTCCGGAAAGCCCGTCCAGTTCCATTTGCCGCCGTTTCCACTGTTTCCGAAGAAATTGAACGACTACAAAAAGCTGGTGTCATTTCACCGGTGGACCACTCCGATTGGGCCGCACCAATCGTACTTGTCAAGAAGAAGAACGGATCGCTACGGATGTGTGCAGACTTCTCAACGGGTCTCAACGACGCCATCCAACTTCACCAGCATCCTCTTCCAACTGCCGACGATATCTTCGCCACACTAAACGGTGGGAAGTATTTTTCACAGATTGATCTCGCCGAGGCTTATTTTCAGCTTAAGCTCGACGAGCAAGCCAAGAGCATGCTGTGCATCAACACACACAAGGGATTGTTCCGCTATAATCGGCTAGCATTCGGAGTCAAGTCGGCTCCAGGATCGTTCCAGCAAGTGATGGATTCTATGATCACGGGTCTCGATGGCACGGCAGCATACCTTGATGATATCATCATCTCGGGTTCTACCATTGAAGAACACAACAAGAGGCTAATGGCATTGATGAAGCGGATCAATGACTACGGATTCCGGATCAGACTGGAAAAGTGCACATTCTTGATGGAAAGGATCACATTTTTGGGATTCGTCATCGATGCAAATGGTAGAAGACCGGATCCGGAGAAGATAGCAGCCATTGATCAGATGCCACCACCAACAAATGACAGCCAAGTCCGATCATTCTTAGGATTCATTCAGTTCTACGGATCTTTGTCTCGGAGTTGTTCAAGCTTCGTCCACCATTGGATGCCCTTACAAAGAAGGATGTCAAATTCCAATGGACTCCTCAATGTCAATTTTCATTCGACCGCGTCAAGCAGATTCTTCGTTCCGATTTGCTGTTAACACATTATGATCCGAACCTTCCGATCATCGTCTCTGCCGATGCCTCTCAATACGGTATTGGTGCTGTAATCTCTCATAGATTTCCAGATGGTTCCGAGAAGGCAATCTACCATATCAGCAAAGCTCTCACAGCACCACAACGGAACTACAGTCAGATTGAGAAAGAAGCTTTTGGTCTCATCACGGCTGTCACCAAGTTCCACAAATTCATCTATGGCCGTCACTTCACACTCAAGACGGACCACAAGCCATTACTATCGATTTTTGGAGACAAAAAAGGTATACCCCTTTATAGTGCTAACCGTCTCCAGCGTTGGGCGATCATCCTGCTCAACTACGACTTCTCGATCGAATACGTCAACACTCATGATTTTGGCCAAGCGGATGCTCTGTCAAGACTGATCTCCGAACAAATCCAACAGACGGAATGTGAGGATCGTGTGATTGCTCAAGTGGAATCGGAAGTCTTGACAAATCTGGTTACAACATGTGATCAATTGCCTGTGACTGCTAAAATGATTCGAGCATCGTCCAAGAAGGATCCTCTGCTGAATCAAGTATACCAGTACACTATCTCAGGTTCGTGGCCCAAAATCTCTGATAAAACTTCACAATTATCTCTTTTCCACAACCGACGTGATCAACTCTCCATCGTGTCCGAATGTTTGATGTTCAATGGTCGAATCGTGATACCACATGCTCTGAGATCCCGAGTCCTCAAAATGATACATCGTGCTCACCCAGGAATTGTGAGGATGAAACAATTGGCAAGATCACTAGTCTATTGGCCAGCCATTGATAAGGATATCGAGAAAATGGTACGTAGTTGTGATGAATGTGCTTCTGTTTCTAAAAATCCAACAAAAAAATACTTTGTGCTCCTGGCCGATTCCAACAGCTCCATGGCAACGCGTTCACTGCGACTATGCCGGACCAGTTAATGGACGCTACTACTTGGTAATCGTGGACGCATTTTCCAAATGGCCGGAAGTCATCCCAACCACATCCATAACATCCACAGCTACTATCAACATATTGAGACGAATTTTTGCACAATTTGGAGATCCGGAGACACTGGTGACCGACAACGGCACACAATTCACGTCATCTCAATTTCAAAGCTTCTGCAAAGATCGAGGAATCAGTCACCTGCGATCACCACCGTTCCATCCTCAGTCAAATGGACAAGCAGAAAGATTTGTGGATACCCTGAAAAGGGGATTAGGCAAGTTGAAGGGGGAGGAAAACACAGATACTGCCTTATATGTGTTCCTCCAGAACTACCGTTCCACTCCTTGCTCATCCAGCCCAGATGGCTCCACACCTGCTGAGAACTTCATTGGTCGGAAGATCCGCACCTTTTTGGATCAATTGCTTCCCAACGACCAACTTCTCGTCTCGCATGACACAGAGATGGAGAAGCAGTTCAACAAACAGCATGGTGCCCGGCGACGCAGTTTTATAGCCGATGAAAAGGTTTATGTTAAAAACTTCAGTAGCATAAATACTACCACTTGGATTCCAGGAATCATTCAAAGACACATTGGACGAACGTTGTATCGAGTGCTCGTCAAGGATACTGTATGGATCAGACACGCCAATCAACTCCGTCGACGCGACAACCCAATCTACATAGACGTGCCACTGAACCTGATGGATCAAATTGATGTGACACCAACACCCGCTCCAGCTCTAACCAGTTCCACCGCTCCACCATCTCCAGTACCGACTCCCCCCACTCCGATGCCACGGAAGTCTACCCGCATCACCAGGCAACCTCAACGACTGGTCGTGCAGCCGAGTCAGAAATCGTATAATTAATTTCTGTACCTCTATTCATCTTTCTCTTCCAACTTAAAAAGGGAGGTGTTACATTCTACGCCTATTCTTATAAGTTGAATGTATTATTATTATTGACGTGAACTACCCTGGTTCACTAACCCTTTCTATTTTCTCCACATATTACACGTATGACACGTGGATTTCTTGTCTCTTGAGAACTCCTCAGTTCTCAAGATCAGTTTCTGTATTGTCCCTGAATAAAGACTTTAATTATAACCACTCTCTACCCTTCCTGTGTCTCCTATGATGTCTGGACCACGGGACACAACAGATGTTGTGTGTCCATTGGAATAGTAAGGTCCCACGATTGAAAGGCTAGACAGGTGTTCGGTAAGATTGGCCATAATCTTGGGGTCCGTGGACCTTCCTTACCCTAGCAGACGTTTCCTCCAGAAAGCTCCGCCCACCCACCGGACCCTCTCTATATAGGAAATCTAGACTTTGGCTAGAGACATGGCTCGATACATGACCGGTCGATTGCTGGTCTCTTGTTTTATTGATTTTTCTGAATATCTCGATGGATTGAAGGACCCCCAAGGGACCGCCCATATTCTCAGAAATGGCTTTCATCAACACTGAGCTTGAGATGAAACTTGAAAAAGCCAAGCTAAAGGGAACAGATGTAAGTTTGAAGGACCACTAGATCCCGAAGTAACCTGATGCCCTGTTCCGGCTCGACAAGGATTTGATGGAAGCCTGATTGAAGTCCAAGCTGGTGTAAAATTCCTGTCCTCCACATAGATATCAACTCGGACACCATAGGGTTGGTCGTTGCACAGAATGCTCGAGACAATCAGACGAGGATGGTGATTCGGATCGAAATCCTGAGGAAGACTCCTTCTTCCAACTCGATCTGATGCTCAAATGAACCTTTATACTCGCCAGTGATTCCATCTGGTGGCTTATCTTCCTCATTCTTTCACTATTCTCGTTTTTCTACTCGCATTTCCATCTCAATGGATCGAAGACCTTATTTTCCAATTCTCGGTAACTTGGTGTTTAGAGAAATTATCTCAAACATCGCTCCGATTGACCTGTAAGTTGTTGATTTTTTATTTTCACTCTATTCCGAAAGTTTGGTTTTTGTGAACGGGATGTTAATACATCTCCTTAACTGTTACAAATAAGATTTCCCATTTTATAGGAATTCTGCAATAAAATTTCAGCGTATCGTTGGCTAGCTCTTCTAAACGCTGTCAACGAATCATAAAATCCAGCAAGTCGGTTTTCAAGGATGACCCTGCACAATTGGAACTTACAATTAGTTTTAAAGAATTTTCGGAGGAGGACGATGAATCTGAAGATTCTACAAAAAAGCGATTTCAGCCATGTCTGATAGTGAGTTGTTCATATTTTCCCATTTAAAACTATTTCAATATTTTAAGATCGGTCATCACTGAGAACGGCGGAGCAATGATAGAACGTGACGACGGAGTCAACCTGGTCGCATGGCTATTCGTCAGTCCGAATTATCTGTCTTGGACAACCCCAAGCAAGCAGCAATAATTGTTTTGGTTTTTCCGCAATGCATAACAATAATAAAGTTTTTTTTTGTGAAAATTATTTTTTCCATGAGAGTGTGCCAGAAAAAAGAACATTCGTTTCGAGAAGTGCAAAGAAACATTGAGAAACAAATTATAATTCACACAACAAACACCGAAACTTCCTGGTCCGGCTTTGAATAGCAATTTAACAAATTGAACTACCACAAGAGTCAGTATTCGAAGTTTGGTGCGTTTGTGTGGGCAAGGTAAACTTTGCAATACTGCAGTCGTAATGAAAAACAAGAACCGCTAAGGAGTGACTGCCCGCAGCGCTAATCTTAACTAAACGGTCCGCTAGAATAGGATGAATAGCTAAGGATTGACGGCCCATCATCGGACCGTCGGTCCCAACGAATTGCGACAACGGTCCCATTGTTCTGATAAGTTGGTTTATAATTATAGGTTTAGGCTGAAACGCCTTGTTCACATCAGTGCCGGAAAAAAGGCGTTTTGGCCTACAATACAAAAAACGTAATATTCTGTGAAAAATTCCTGTCAAAAAGTACTAAAATCTCCTAGTATAAGTAAAATGTTAAATTTTCCACTGGATTCTTTAAAGACCGTTCCGTTTTTTCTGTATTTCAGAAATAGGGTTTCCAGATTAAGCCTGGTTGGGACCGTTGTCGTACTCTTGGGACCGTTCCCAGGATATTGGGACCGTTATCGGAACAAAGCAAAGAGACCGTTGTCGCAATTCTTGGGATCGGTGGTCCGATGATGGGACCGACGGTCCCATTTTGGGACCCTTCTTCCCGGAAAGAGCCGGATTGACTACCCGCGACTCAAACCTAGACGGAATGGTATGTTAAAAACGAAAACGATAAGAACAATAAAAGAACGAGATTTGTTAATAGTAAACGGTTTATCACCCAGAAAGGAACACGTGGCAGAGCCACAACAAGACAAGAGACGGAAAGAAACATAGAAAATAACGATAAAGGCAACTGTGTGCACTGTATTTCATTGATCATATAAATCCAGTCCATCCAGGCATTCATAATCTAGAAAGTCCGGTTTGTCTTTCATCAGTTTCGAAGCGCAGGCTGCGAAACTTCTTTTGTGAACCATCTCGAGAAGATTGCAAGTGTGTTCTACTGTATGTTTGGTATGTTCTTTAACAAAACAAGAGTCGTCAACGCAGTACTGGATCTCCAGCTTAAAATTTAAACATCACTATCATTCTCTTACCTGCATGTCCTTGCACATCTTGTTCATTTTTGGGACACGAGTGTCGTTCGACTCCAATTTCATGGCATGCAATTCTAGGATTTCGTTTTGAATTTGTTTACCTAGCGCATCACATCGGAACGTATTCAATACTTTATGGGGACTTTGACCATCTGTGTCATTGGGTTTGATGGAAATATCATTCACGAATTCCTGGTAATTCTTGGAGAAAAAGTCAATGGAAGTCTGGTTACAGTGATCCTTGACATAATCCGTGAAACATGATTTTCCCTTCTCGAATGCCTCTCGTTTCTTGCTCAAATCTTTCTGCAAGTGATAAAAAATTCACAAAATTGGTTTTGTTTTAAATTTATAAGGATCCTACCTCTAGAAAATCACATTTTTGGAAACAAGTGGACCCGTTTGACGAATAAGCTTCTTTGAAGAATCCAGTAAGGCAATGAAATTGGTCACCCAAATAATCCAGTAATTCACATGATTTCTCCAATGTCGTTTTAAAAGTATCAAACTTTTGACATTCATTCACAGAGAGACAATGCTGCAAATATTTAATTATTTTGGGAAACCCTGGAAAATACTTAAAGATGCTCTGTCACACAGAACGGTCATGTTGCGTATCGCCTCCGGAGCCTGTTGAGCAGCCAGGGAAATAAAAGAGATAAGTAGAGCAAGTGAAAGATTCCTCATTTTGAGCAAGTAGGAGTTTTGGGTTTTCGTCGGTTGATTTTATACTGATATTGGAAGAGGAAGTAAAGGAATTTTAACAACATTTTCAATCACACAAAAAGGAGAACTACTTCCTTGTTGCGCTAGTTTAATGTTTCCCGAACAGTTGTTAGGCCATCTCTCAGAAAAAGATCGAACTGAAGCGGATTATTTGATACCTTCGAATTTAAAAGAAATCCGCGTTTTGGGCCTAAACGAGCGAAGTAAGAAGCTCCTTTTTTTTGGGAATCAACAATATTAGAAGCCAGCTAGAAGCCAATTTTCAAGTTTTTGAGCTATTTGTCAATTTCTGAATCACTCCTCTTTTTGATCCGTTTTTGTACTGAAAACGTGAGATAAGCAGGCGTCTTACAGAAAACGACAAAATCTGAAAAACTAGGAATTTTTTGAAAATTTGTGTGAATCTAGGTCTGTTTTACACTCTGAATCTAGGTCTGTTTTACACTTCAATCTAGGTCTGTTTTACACTCTCCAACACTTTCAAAGTGCGGCCCTGTATCCAAAATTACATCAAAAAGGGTACATCCAGTTCTAATGTACTCTCGATGTACCCTTCTTCGTTGTACCCTTGGATTCTGGGCCTGGTTCTGCAGATGTCATTTCAACAACAAGATAACTGGATTCAGATTGATTTTATTGGATCAGGGAAAAAGAAATGACCAAAGCACGCTCTCCCACAGAACAATTCCGAACTGCAAATTAATTTTTGATCTACAGAAAAAAAGTTTGGCGCGATCACAATTGCAGGTCTAAAACCATAATTTCAGAATTTTTAATCTGATTTTGTGGAGTTCCAAAATGATTCAAATGATTCTTAAAAAAATCAATTAGTGGTTATAGATTCATGTATGGTCGTTTTCCGGAAGAAAAAATGTCAAAAATTCATGTCATTTTTGAAAGTTTTTTACAGAAAAAATCTATCTCCTCTTTCAGTTTTTGACATTTCTAGAATTTCTATATCTCAAAAAAAATCGCAATTATTTTCTCTACATTTTCTATGGATGAACTTTTAATTTGTCTGATAAAACTTTTTTTATAATTCAAAAACCTCATGAAATTGCACAAAATAGCATTTTTGAGTTGTTTTTTGATTATAAAAAAAGTTTTGTCAGACGAATTAAAAATTCATTTATAGAAAATGTAGAGAAAATAATTGCGGTTTTTTTGAGATATAGAACTCCTAGAAATGTAAAAAACTGAAAGAGGAGATAGATTTTTTTTTTTTCTATTGTAATCGCGCCAAATTGTGATCGCGCCAAACTTTTTTCTGTAGATCAAAAATTAATTTGCAGTTCGGAATTGTTCTGTGGGAGAGCGTGCAAAGTGAAAAAATGAAAGAAGAATGACATTTTTTGTCAAAATACATCGGAATTGTTATCAAAATAAACTATAAATAGATTATTCATAACCACTGGACAGTCACAATTCAGATTTATAGAGGTGATTTATTTTCTTGCACTTTCTTCTGAAGGTTTTGCGATCATCTGTAGAGAAAGCACAGGATTCTTCCATGCACTTCTGAATGAAAACAATTATTTTAAATTGTTTGTTTATTTCCAATAGATCACCTGAGCGTCCTCGCACATCTGGTTTATCTCTGTGAATTCAGCATAACTTCCTTTGTATTTTCTTTCTTTGAGGCTATCGATTCTCAAGATTATTTCAAGTTCCAATCCTCTACATTGAAGGGAATTCAATTGAAAGTGTGGATGTGAGCATTTAGCGTCTTCTGGTTCAGTCGAAATTGTGGTCACAAATTTTTGGTAGTTTTTGGTGTAATACTCCATAGCATCCGTGCCACACAACGATTTGATGGTATTCAGGAAGCATGCCTCTCCTTCAATATATTCATCGCTTTTTATAGTCAAATCTTTCTGGAAAAAAAAAGAGTTGTTCATCTTGGGAGGAAGTCTATAAGAGTCTTACATCTAAGAAACTGTAATCTTTGAGACAGCTGGAATTTCTTGAATGCTGAATCAGATAAGTTCTGGTGAAAAATCTGGCAAGGCATGGTTTTAGCTCCAACATCTTGTATTCGAGATTCTCGCGAACTGTTTCGAATTCCAACTTCATTGGTTCAGCTTCTCGGCAGTTCAGTGGAGCCAGACAATCCTGAATAAATAATTCTCAAAAACTATATGCAATATTCTAGGAACTAACCAAAATATTTGTGCAATAAAGTGCTGCATCCTTATAATTCTCAACTGGTTGATTTTCATCTTCATAATATCTCATAACCATTTGCAAGTAGTCAGTTCTAGGAATACACCGTTCCATTTTTGAAAGTTCTTCATCATTACATTCCGGAAGTTTTTTTGGATTGATTGCAGAACAAGTGACCAGAATCGAGATGAAAATGAGTATGGGAAGGTTCATCTTACCTGAAATTGAAATTTTTAGAGTTTCGAATGAAAAAGAAAACGAAGAAAGTGAAAAAATGAACCGGCTGGTTCCGACCGTTTTTTTTTTGCACGAAAAAGAAATTTTATTCGTTTTACGCGCACTTGCTGGAGGAATCCGATGATCAAAACTAAATTAAACAAAACTAAATTGATCTACAAGACAATTTTTGGGTCTGTCCAATTTCCGAATTTTAAATCGAACTTTTCAGAGACAAAGAAAGATTCAAACTAGTTTTCTTAAAATTAGTCTTTCAAACAGAAAATACAATCATATTCAGCCCATTCCATACACCGTAAACACTCTAATAGAATGCCACCCTAATAGTCAAATTTGAGCGCGTGTATCTTATTTTTTGTGAAGATATCAAAAAGTGTTTAACTAATAAAATGTTGCTGATATCATGATAAACATTTTATTAGTTGACAACTTTTTGATATCTTTCAAAAAAAGGCGAGACATATAGGCTCAAAGTAGACGGCCCCTGGTGGCGTTCTATCACAGTGTTTACGGTATCCTCGTTATATTGAAGTTTTATGACTTGAGAACATGTCAATTATTTTTCCTCACTTCTTATAGATTTGGAAATATTTTTCAGTTGGTTTTCGCCCATTTTGACCATTATCAGGATCCTGGAGTTCGGAAACGTTGTATTCACAGAATTGTTTAATTCCTAGTTTTTCAAAAAGTTTTGTGAGTGAAATTTCAAAAAATTCTGTGATAGCAATTTTCAATTTAGATCTGTTTTACATCCTCCAAAATTTTTCAATTGATCGGAAACTTGACAACTGAACTCCAGAGTTTTGAAGATGGTTAAAATGACCGAAAATCTACTCAAAAATACTTTTTTGGTATGTCTTATTGACCGGTACAGTAGAAGTTCTGGAGAAATTCTGTATATCGCGTTCCTTTACACGCACTCAAAGTTAACCGAATGAGTTGGAACCTGCACAGGCGAAACAGAAATTTTTATAAGTTGATACCCGAACTTTTCATTTTTCGTAATTTTGATTTTAAAGTCTGACTAATCAAGTTCAAAGGGACGCTCTTTTTATGGAGTTTCACAGATTTCAAAAGGAAAAAATTCAAGTGATATTTAAACGTGATGAAAAAAATTATTTTAAAAACTCACGATCCTAAATGACCCATTGACCTTACTATCAGAAAAAATACTATAAAGAAAGAGGAAAGTGAAAAATCAGTTCTGCCTTTCTCTGAGCTCCTGAAAGGGGAGTCTGGAGAAAGGATCCGGATCCCGGGATCCGAAATCAGGAATCCGGATTCCCGGAACCAGTTTCCGGGTGACCTGGATCCGCGTGAACTGGGTCCGGATGACCTGGTTCTGTGTGACCTGGATCCGAAGGACCTGAATACGGGTCAGGCCTGTGCGGCAACAAAAATTTTTTGGCAATTCGGCAACTCGGCAATTGCCGAAAAAAATTTCGGCAAATTCGGCAAATTTCGGCAATTTTCGGCAACAATAGTTTGCATCTTTTTTATTAAAATCGATACGTAACTCACCTAAAAATGCTCCGATCAGGCTCAAAACTACAGAAAAGGTGTGTCATGCGTTTCCTAACAAAGCAACTACAAAAATTGGCAACTCAGGATCACATTTTTTATGCTAACTACTTATCTTGGACAATAGATAGTATTCCAATGGTTGAAAATATTTTTTCTGATTGTGAGTTTAAAAAAAAATTAGTGTACTCAACTTGTTAGGCAACTCACGACACACGTTCTCTAGTGATTTTAGACAGATTGGATAATTTTTAGATAAGTTGCTACTCATGAAATCTATTTTTCTCCTATGATCACAAATTGGAAGCCCATTTTAGGACCGATGCAAGTATTTTTGGTGATTATTGGGGCACATTTCCTCTTCAATTCACTTTGAGAGATAATGGTGTTCAAAATTAGGTTTTTCGAACTTCGAAATCATTTTTTTGATTGAAAAAATTGTGAAAATCTCTACATTCAAAAAAACTTTCAGTTGCCGAAGTTGCCGAAATTTTTTTGCCGAAATCGGCAACGGCAATTCGGCAACTTTTTCTTCGTTGCCGATTTCGGCAACGGCAAATCGGCAACAAAAATTCGGCAATTTCGGCAATTTCGGCAATCGACAATTTGTTGCCGCACAGGCCTGATACGGGTTACCTGGAAACGGGTTGCCTGGATCCGGGTGACCTAGATCCTGGTGACCTGGATCCGGGGGGTCCAGGGTCCTGGGTCTCGACGACAAATGTAAGATTCTGCTGGAGATTCAACCTTGACCAGAAATGCTATCGCTTCAAGGATGTGCTCTGGCTTTCTGGATATCCACAATACACGGAAACATGGCGCACCGTCCGGGAATCGAACGATTTGATCTTACCATTTATTTTTGAAATAATCTTTTTTTAAAATAAATAAATATAACACTTGCTTCGTATTTTTAGTGTTTTTTTGTGGGAAATCCAACATTCAGAGAAGCTGCCAAATTAGGAATTTCTACATTTGAAAATTTCCGAATATGGTCCTTGAAAAAAATTTTCCCTGCAAAAGTGACTTTTCATAAGATTAATAAGATTACGGGTATTCAAGGCGGAGCCCAGGAGGTTTAGCCCCGGCGGGGCGTAAACCGACTGGTTTTTAACGACAAGATGTGGTTCAGAATTATTTTATTAGATCACTGGAAAAATAATGACCAAACTAGCGTAGAAAATGTATGACTGGAAAGCGAAAAGCGGACGAAAATAACAGAAAAATTGAAAGATTGGCACTAGCGTTTCAGTCAAAGAAGAAACAACGTATTCTTTATGACCATTTCACAAGCATTTTCCTTCCAAATCAGATGAACAGCTATCCGAGACGGCTAGAAGCTTCTGTAGAATCTTGCACCTTTTTCCCATGGATTCATGATCAGCTGCGGAGAAGACACAGGATTCTTTCATGCACTTCTGAATACAAATAACTGTTTTCTATTCTCATCCAATTTTTAATAAATCACCTGAGCGTCCTTGCACATCTGGATCATTTGCGAAACTTCCACTGCACTTGCTCTGTTGTTTCTTTCTTTGAGGTGACCCACTCTCAAGGTTATCTCATCCTCCAATCCTTTACACTGAAGAGAATTGAATTGATAGTGTGGATGAGAGCATTTTTCTTCTGCAGGTTTTATCGAAATCGTGGTCACAAATTTTCGGTAGCTTTTGGTGTAATACTCCGAAGCATCTTTGTTACACACCGATCTTATGGTTTCGAGGAAACATGACTTTCCATTAATATAAGCATCGCGTCTTTTCGTCAAATCTTTCTGGAAAAAGAAGTTAATCAACTTGAACACACGTCTATAAGAGTCTCACATCTAAAAAACTGTAATCTTTCAGACAGCTGGAATCACTTGAAAACTGAGCCAGATAAGCTTTGGTGAAAAACTTGGCTAGACATGGTCGAAGATTCAAACTCAAGTAGGTGAGAAGCTCGCATGATACTTCATATTCTAGCTTCGCTTCTTGAGCTTCTTGGCAATTTAGTGGAGCCAGACAAGCCTGAAAAAACAATTGTAGGGAATATAATACTAATAGTAATAACTAACCAAAATATTTTCGCAAGCCTTCGTTGCTCTCTTATAAACCTCAACTGGTGGGTTCATTCCTTTATGGTTCCTCAAAGCCATTTCCATTTCGTCAGTCTCCGGGAGACACGATAGAAATGTGAAAAGTTCTTCATCAGTTTCACATTTTGGAAGATCCTTTGGGTTGATTGCAGAACAAGCGACCAGGAGCAAACTCAAAATGAATATAGAAAATTTCATCTTTCCTGAAACTGAAATTTATATAGTTGCAAATAATAGAAAGAGAAAAAAATGAGCCGACTGGCTCCAGGGAAAATAAGTCGGGTTTGGTAGACCAGAACAGCTGTTCTCTAGCACTTTTAGAAATGGATTGAAGAAGCAGAGTGATGAAAATGAAAAGAAGATAGAAAAAAAAGACGAGAAAAAAGTTAGTTGAATTTCATTTGTGTGATATGAAAATAGTGTTTGCTTCATACATATCCTGACCATCAAAGTAGAGTGTTTCTTTAATATCAGAGCAGAATTTCTGTAAAAGGGATGTTCAAAACCATTCATTGAAATCATAACATACATAAAGTTCATCCGTCCAAAAACTGAGCATCCTGGATCTTGGAATTTTGCCACCCCTTGAGAATCCTTGCTTGAACATAAGCTACTAACAGAAAGACCGTTGCGATCCCTCAATCTTAAAAGAAGCGCCAAACTGATGGTTTATAAGCTGATGGTTTATTGGTTCCGGTCGAGGGGCATCGTGGGAGGAGGAGGTGAAAATATGCTAGGAATTTTATCTGGAAATGCCTTTGAAATCATATGATAGGGATGGAAAAAAGATGCTATGAAGGATTACAGCTATCAACTAAAAACAACAGGGTCCGAATACATCAAACTTCGCAAGTCTTCTTCTCTGTGATGGAAACAGTTGTTCAATTCCCCTTCGTGAATCCAATAACAATATAAAAGCAACCAACCAACTCCCAAGACTCTTCATTTCTCAAAATGTGGAGTCTTTCCTTTGCTCTACTCATTTCTTGTATTTCACTAACTGCTCAACAGGATCCAACTGAAATTCCAAAATGTGAGACTTGTAATGAACTAGCTCAAAAAATACCTAATGCAATCCAAGAATTGCATAAAATCAAATTGGAGCCAAATGACACTCGCGTCGCCAAAATGATCAAGATGTGCACTGACATGCAGGTAAGAGAATGATACACAGGTAAAATGCGAACGGGTCCGTTACGGACGCTTCGCGTTCGCGCGCGGTTGAAATAGGAACCGCATACGGACCGCACGCGAACCGTTTTCAGTAAATTGCAGTACATTATTCGAATTGATCCGTATCCTGTCCGTTTGCGAGCTCCGTATCCGATCCGATTGCGAATCATGACCAAACGGATCCGTTTGCGAACTCAATAAAACATTTGATTCGCGGAGCGTCCGTAACGGATTGTTCGCGAATCACCTGTGATAGTAATGTTCAAACTTTGAACTGTATTTTCAGGGTTGCGATTCTTGTGGCATTCCACAACAGACCAAAGATACAGTGGAGACAACTTGTAATCTTCTGGACATGGTTAATAAAGAAGGTTTCACAGCTTGCGCTTCGAAATTGTCGAAAGAAAATCCGGACGTTTCCGGTTATGAATGCCTCGAAGGACTGGATTTCTATGACAAATCCCCTGCAAGCAGTTGCGTAAGGGCCACAACAAAGAAGGAATGTGTTAAGAAAATTATGGAAGACAAGTGTGGAAAAGATGCTCTAGTAGACTATGATAAAATTATCGACCGTGTAGTAAAGCTTCTTGATTGCAAATAAGTATCAGTTCTTTTAATAAATTGTATCTTTTTTCCAAAATAGCAGATCATAGTAAAAGTGAATGATACCTCGAATGACGTGAAAAAAGTTTATATCATGAATAAATGGTTTTGAAATGGTATGGAGAAAGCTTCGAAGATATATGTATTCACCATTGTATTCTGGGCGAGTTTTTAATTCAAATTTTTGCCTCGTTCGGGAAAAGGAGATTATCAAATTTATGCGCGTTCCGAAATTACCTCCGAAATTACCACAGTGCATTCTTTTTTCTGGTAAAGGGGATCAGCTGTCTTTCCATAGATACATCAGATAAGGAGCTGCAAGTTGATTAACTAAAACTGTAATTGAACTGTGACTATCCAGTGGGCTTGAAGGTAGGAGAATGCCTAGCGTCGCCTTAGCTGATTCATTTAGCATGGTTCCTTTTAAAAAGCATAGTTTTCCTATAGCTAGTTATCTCTTTGGATCGGAATTTTGTGGAGAATGTGCCATTTGAGTATTTACCACCATTGCAGAAAGTACAGATCCGGTGGGTTGGTCAGGAATGCGATCGGTGCCGAATGGTCCGATTCGGAGCAGAAGATCAGTTCAGGACCACCAGTACATTCCCAATTTCTTCAGTTTATGTCAAACCGTACCTTTGAGGTTATAACATTAAATGGATTCACCACCAAAGAATAAAATGTCTCCTTTCCTTGTTTTTTCGGAGGTGACCGTATAAATATGAAACGCTTGCAGAGAGCCATTTTCCAGTCCCGGGAGCCTAATTCTGCCTGTTTTTTTTGGTATCATCATGAAAAGTATCAAGTGTATGTATTTTGAAATCCTGAATCCGATTTTTTAATTACCGAATGCCTATTTTTATCGGTTGTATCTTCTTGGAGGTCAAACACAGAGAAAAATGAGATAGATTCCCTGGTTTATCATTTCCTTTTATACGAGAAATGGCGACAGCTGGCAACAGACAGAGAACAATTTGACACTTGGACAAGGAAGTGAATAGTGTTTCAAGGAAGTTCGAAACATAAAAACAGTTGGCATCTGGAAGTATTTTTCGGAGAGAATTTACTTCCTGGATACGAGAAAGTTTGAATTCCTTTGTTTGAACTTTTTGAATTCCAAATGGATATACTGGGCGGGCAAAAATTGCATATTTCAAAATTTTGACTTTCCGCCCTCTTGAACTTCAAAAACTTAGAAAAACACATGGCTCAATAAAATTGTTTATTTTGGAACAATGCTCATTTGTCATCGCTCATATACAGGAAAACACGTGGTGGTGGGTCAGAGAACAAAACTGGAGGAAATCCATAAGAAGGTCTTTCGTGGGGACACTGTCCCAAAGCAAACTTCTCTGGTCTCTTACACGAATCCATTATAGCATACAACCAGCAATTCATCTTTTGATCCATCCATGTACAACGTTTATAGGCGTTGAACACGTCAAGATAGCTCATCCTCTTCAGGCATTCGCATCTTGAGTACTCTGGATGAAGCTCGAAAATGTTTTTCAACTCTGCAGATATCATTTTGGCATAATCACAGTTTTGTTTGATAGCTTTTTTCAGTACTCTACTGGTGAGGCACGCGTCCTTTTGGCACCTCTGTAAAATGACACATCTCATGACAAAAGTTATAATAAAAAGATTCACTTCAATCCTTCTACACATATCCATCGCTTCCTTGACATCTGAATCTGACGCATTCAAAACTGGAATTCCCTTCAGACGTGATTCCAATCCTAATCCCCAACCATCACACTTCATTTTTTCTAACTTGTCACTCGGAGAGGTACAATCATTGGTTTTGAACTTTATATTGTACGGCTCCAGAAGTTTAATGGGATTTTTACGAAAAATCTCGATAAAATCGTGATGACAAGTTTTCAGTAAAACCTTCGAGATACAAGACGATTCGTTTTTGAGAGGCTGCTTCTCAATAGAAGGAGTTCTCTGCAAAGCAAGTAGCTCTTGAGTCATTCCATAGAAGTTAGACTTACTAAAACGGCCTCGAAATCTTCAGCACAGTTATGTTCCTTTTTATAAACTTCTCTGGTGAAAGGAATCATACATTGATGTTCAAAGAAATAGTATTCTACACCAACATTTTCACAGGTTGCTCCAGTGATTTCTTTTTGGGAGTGCTCTTGGGAACAGTTTAATTTCGAAGCACATTTCTGGAATTATAACATTCGTGTAGATTTTTTCAAACTGCAAGAAAATTACCATAACGCTTCCACATTTTTCGGTATAATTCCTGATTGTTGAAGGAGATGGAGGAAAAACAGAACTGCAGATCGAATTGAAAATCACAAATTTTTCCTTCATCTCTTCATGACATGCTATGTCAATTTCCGAAATACAATCTTTCAAGGAAGTTGTTCCATGGATTACTATTGGTATTAGGAGAGCAATAAGGTATGAGAACATTTTTAATGCTGGATTAAAAAGAAAAAATAAAAGTTTAGATTGATGGTTTTCGCATTCATAGAGAGTCAAATTGTTTATGTATTTAAAAAAAATCTAAACAAATGATTTCCAAACGCCGATCGTGAGGATATCTTGTTGCCTGTGGTCGAATGTCCCGCAACGACAACTACCATAACCATATTGCATGAAAATCGAGATGGTAAAACCGGAAAGTGAACAACTTGTTCAAAGGGGGACTCCGACCAAAAACTTGTATTGCATTAATAGTAAGATGTTTCAAAAATTAAGTTTTTTTCTAATATTATTGCGAAAAAATTCAAAAAAAATCCTAAATCCCCGAAAAACCGCGTTGAAAAAAAAATAGGATTTTAATTCCCGCGCAGGGAGAAATACAAAACTAACAAGGAAAAAAATCCGAGAAATTCGGAAAGGTTTCAGACTACAAAAACGCATCTATGGTTTTCACATATGCATTTTTCTGATGGAAGTCTTTGTGAAATTCAAAAATTCCAAATTTTATTCATTTTTTGTAGCCTGATACCTTTCCATTCGCTTGTATCATCACAATAGCGTCACTCTACCGGAAAATCATACCGTAACATTTGTGCAAAGTTCTGTCATATTTTTCAGAACATCTTTTGGAATTTTCATATTGTTATGCTCCATAAATAGCTCATCCAGTTGGCTGCTAATATTAGTACAAGCTTGAAGTGCAGAATATTCTTCTGATATT